AAGAGGGCCCCGCGCCCAGTGGCAGGGCCGCCGGGGTGGGGGCAAGTGGCTGAGAATCCCTTCCCTGGCTAGAGGCTCCTTTTTAATTTTTACTCACCCGGCGGCGCTCCGGGTCTTCGGCGGCACTTCGGCGGCGGGTCCTTCAGTGCCGCCGAAGACCCGGAGTGAGTGAAGGACCCGCCGCCGAAGACTAGGAGCATCGCCCAGTGAGTACAAGCCCCATGTGTTTTTTTACGTGGTTTTTTTTTTAGTCATCCCTGCCGGGGCCCCGTCAAAACTGTTCGAATCGGGCCCCGCACTTCCTAAAGCCGGCCCTGCCTGAGGGGGTCCAATCCGGTTCAGGGCTGAGCCGCACACGACAGGCCCCACATGTCGGGGAGGCTTGCAGTACCTACACTCTGGATATATGACACCTGCGGTGGCTGACCGCCCCTCGGCACCCCTTAGCTGTCCCCACAGTAGGAGTGACCTGCGAACGGCAGCCCAGGCAGGGCTTCACAGCGTCGCTGAAGCCTCTCGTGCTGTAGTCATGCGTCTGTGGGTTTCTTTGTTTAGGCCACAGGGAAGCCTGGCCAACCGGGGTCAGCTCAGCGCGATGCCGGCTGGCCACCAGTAACTCGGTGGAAATCCTGCCAGAGCGTCACTAACCACAGCAAGGAATCTTGTGGGGACAGGGCAGGCTTGTCTGCCACCCAGGGAAGGCTTAAGCACATGCCCAGGAAGCTGCTTTGCTCTGTCCGTGTCAGTCACAGGGCACTGAGAAGCCAGGTCCAGGAAGGGGAATGAGGGTGTGTGTGTGTGTATTTTACCTATGAGTGTGCACACGCTCTTTCTTTTCTTTCTCCCTCTCTTTATAGCTCTTCTCTCTTTCTCTTCTTCTCTCGTCTCGGTGCACCTGCCTGCCTCCTAGGACAGCACAGACTACACTGAACTGCCACCAGGACAGGTTCTCCCCGCACCCCCCACGCCCATTCCACTTTCTTTGCTGCAGCTGTCTTCATTCCAAGCTTCCCCCTGACCAGAGTTTGCAGCGCCTGAAATTCAGACTATATCCCCGGACTGCTCCCAAGTATCCTTGATACCTTTGGCATATGGTCGCAGGCATTGCCAGATTTCTCCTCCTCCACCTCGGGTTGCTTTTCAGGAGCTCTAAGGGGAATATTTCCAAGATGTGACTTCACTGCTGCGCTGGGGCGTCCAGAGGGAGACCTCTCCTAACCTCGTCCTCCCCGTCTGAGGCGGGGTGTGAGATCATTTCAGTCTCTGCCTTATATTTTTCATTGGTTTTGTCTCCTGCTGACGTTTGGCCCCCTCTTCCCATTGCTGTTAATCGCTAGCTGGCTGGGTTTCTCTGGGCAGAGGGAGCGGTGCTGTGTTACTGCCTCCTATTCATACGCCCAGAGCTTGGCACCCACAGAACGATGGTCACTTTGTTTCCGATGCAGATGGCAGCCAGCCCCTTGCTCGACGCAGTCTGTTCCTGTTCAAGTGCGTGGCGCTCTGGTTGACTATTGGGGAGGAGGCTTGAGAGCAGACCCCTCTCATTGAGAAAGGCATCCTGCACTGGAACGTTGGATCCCTTGAGCCTGATTCTCTTCTTAAATCACGAGTAACCCCACTGAAGTCAATGGGGTTACACCGACTGGAAGTGAAAGGAGAATTGGGCTTCTATTCCTCCTAGAAACCCCGTCAGCCTGAAACGAACTGACACTGTGACTCCTTGATGCTTCTCTTTCAGAGGGTGGGCCACATTTGCAGCAATGCAAAGCTGAGGTCCAGGTGCAAGAAATGTGCATGCAATTAGCAAGATTGCACGTGGCTCAGGTGCCTAATGCTCTACCTGCCTGCCGGCTCTGTTGCCTGATGTGTGTGTGGAACTGCATGGTCGTTTTTATGTGCAGGTGCACGGAACAGGCCTTTGCCCTCTGAAGTGGAGCTTCCGGTATTTGATTTTACTGAATTACACTGCAATTTCAAGAAAATTTTTCCTCATGACCCTGAGGAGACCCAGGAAGGAAAACATCAACCCTATGGGGTATGTAGTTGTGAGAAAGTGTCTCCCATACTATGGAACTATGGATTTGGAGATGGGGACCTGCTGGACTTGCAACTGGGGAAGCTGTAGGTGCTATGTTCCCTCTATGCTGGCTAATTAGCACCTCCAAAATGAAACTCATTGCTGTGGTGGTACATTGGGGGCCAATTTATACACAGGAGAAATGGGATGTAGTAAAACTTGGATGACAGTGATGTAGAATGAAAACTCAGTATTGTTCCCAGGCTTCTGATGGGCACATTGCAATAAGAAGGCTGTCTGTCTGTCTGTCTCCAAAGTGGTCAGGGATTGTTTTCTTTTCAAATGACTTGCAGCGCTCTCTCACCCCATAATGAGCACCTGCACCTTCCAGTGGTCCCATCGACATGTCCTCGGAACTGTGCTGGGGTGGGGTGGGGTGGCAGGGACAGGGTGACACACAGGGGAATGCTCTCCCATCAGAACGTGCCCATCCCATGTTACCATCCAAATATCCAGTTCCCATTGGGTGGGGTGCGGAGTGACCATCCTGTGGCTCACTGGCACACCCAGCCGTGAAAGCGATGGTTAGCCATGTGGCGTCCCAGCATGGAAAGGGGCATAAGATGTGCATGGAATTTATTAGCTGGAATGACTCATTCAGAGGCTCAGAGCATTCAATGACATGGTTTCCTATAATCCATGACAAAATAGTGTAACAGGTCCTAATTGTCCATGTACTGTACACCTTCATGGAGGCAGTGGGGACAGAGCTCAGATCTCCTGTTCCAAAAGTACGGGCCCCTACTGCTTCCGCAAAAGAAGAATCTCTGTTAGCTAACAGCAGTATAAGGCTTATAACCCACAATTGAACATCTCTGATTCCATCCAGTAGAAGTTGTGTGGGGGCGCGCGCGCGCGCGCGCACACACACACACACACACACTATCTCTCTCAGTTGTAATGTATTATCTGCTTCTTCCCGTGCCCCAGAAATCAGGATAAAGGGAAAAATATCCAACTCTCCCTTTTCAGAACTTTACTAACCTACCCACAAATGCTGTTCCTTGCAGAGCTGTGAGTGTGTGGATAAAGAACAGCTCTATTTCATAGCAGTCTCTCTGTTAATGATCCTCTGCCTTTCCCCTTACGAAAATCAAGAGCTAGACTCTCTCGACTGGAGAGTGAAAATGCTGAGCTGGCCGTCAGCTCCAGTGATTAAAAAAGCCGGACGCCTGTGTCTCCCGAGGTTTGGTCTCGCTCCATTCTGTTGTTTAACATCCATGTAGTTATTTATTTTGCTCAGAAGGGAAGAGGAGGTGAAATATCCTTCCTCTGAGCAATGTCGTGTTGGCCAGCAGAGACCTCAGCGGTCTGCACTTCTGAGAACGGAGTTCCAGGCCAGAAGATCAGTTGGCGGAAAAGGGGAATCTGGCTCTGTGCTATAGAGTTCTGTGGTCACTGTGGTTTAGATGTTTTGGGCTGGGGCCAAGAAGGAGGAAGGTGGTTTGCATCTGCCTTTTCTCCTCCCCCCCCCCCTTCACCTCCTTCTTTCACATCTGAACTTGGGAAAGTAAATTGTGTTTTCAAGGCTCTGCGATCCAAGGAGCGTGTCGTGCAAACTGCTCAGCACACTTGGGAGCAGCCTGCACTAGCTATTGGCTTTGACTAGTCTCGGTTAACATAGAGCACCGCAAGTGTGCTAGGTGCATTCCAGCCAATGTGGAGCCAACGAGCTGAGATCATTCAACCTGCCCTTAAAAAAAAGTAGATGCCCAGTTCCCAGTAATTCAATTGGGAACTGAGTGTCCATATCCCAGAGGTGGTTTTGAACAATCTCAGCTGTGAGATTTCCCCCAGGCCGAAGGGTTTAGCTTAAGTCTAAAGTTACAGGACAGGATTCCTTGAGTGGCCATTGTGACTTGGTAGCAATGTACAGGGTGAAGCAGGGGAAATTCAGGCCCACGTTGTACATCGATTATAATGACTAATAGAAACCCCACCAACCCAGAATCTCCTGTGGCCTTGTTACGTTTCCCTTCCATTGTAATGGGCTTCTGTAACTGTGGGAGATCCATGATTATCTAAGATGCTCGGGTAGCCTTCTACTCAGCCATTTCATCATTATTTGTATGGAGTGAGTGCATGGGGGCCAAGTCTTCACTGCACAAAAGGTGTGTTTTTACATCAAGGTAATGGAGACCAGGGCTCTGGTAGTTTTTACCTTGATGTAGCTAGTTGAGGTCACCCCATACCCTCCATCTGGAGTTGGCCTCAGTTACCTTCGGTGAGGTAAAAGCTACCTATGCCTTGTCCGCACCCTAGGATTTTGCATCGAGAGAACTATCCCAGTGTAATAACACACAGCCTGAGATCAGGGCCACCTCGTGCTGGGCACTGTGCAGAGTCATGGACCGATCCTGCCCCAGGGAGCTTGCAGCGGAGATGGAAATCCATTTGCAGTGGATAACCAATAATACTTCTGTCTGAGTCAAAGTTTTGAACCCACAGTGTTCGAGGGTTAGAATGCATTAGGCCTCTCCTCCACTCAGCAATCCCTCCCATCTAAAATCACCGCTCTGGTTTGTGGGATCAGTTAATTTGGACAGCACTTTGGGAGGCAAGGGGAAGTGAGTGCCATGGAGTAACCCTGAGATTCTGCTTAATTCCCTTACTGCCACAGGGCAGGAGAACACTATAGGTTCCAAGACTACAGGGGCTTGATTTCCAGAAGTGCTGGGTACCTGGCTGTCCCATTGTCTCTGATCAGAGTTGTGGGTGCTCAATACTTCCGAAAGTCAGGCTCTATATAAAAGCAACATCCTTATTATAGCTAAGCCTTCGGTGAAGCAGTAGCCTGTGTGCTGGTACGCTGACCCTATCTTTGTCGCTCTCTCCTGCAGGTCACTGGTGGTGCAGTATGTCTTTGCTCCTAACCCTTGAGCCCAGCAGGAAGTAGCGGCTGGTCCCAGGCACTTGTTCCCCTGAGAGATGTCTGCGACCAGAGGCAATGGAGAGCACTGGAAGTCTTTGGAGTCAGTGGGGATCAGCCCGAAGGAGCTGGCTCTGGCTGAAGCCCTGCAGATGGAGTATGACGCTCTGTCCCGCCTGAGGCAGGACAAGGAGGAGAGTCAGGCCAAGCAAAACAATGACCGCTCCCTCATTTCCTGGGATGACCCAGCTCTGGATTACAACAAACCTGCTGTCAGGAACGACTGCCACAGCATCAAATTAATGCGAGGTCTCTCTGGCTCGGACCCCACCCTCAACTACAACTCCCTCTCAGTTCAAGGGTGCTCGAGAGCTCCTGGCACCAACAACTCTACCTCATCTGTCCCGCCACCTGAGCTGGAGAACCAGCCTTGGCTGAAGGGCCCTCTCGCCAGTGACTACCTGTACATCTTTGATGGCTCGGGGGAAGACTTCCTCAGCGAGCCACTCAACGGGACCTCGGGCCAAGATGGCTCCCCCAAGAAGCTCTCTCCTCCCCCGCTACCCCCTCGCCTCTCCATCTGGAACTCCTCTGAGGTGAATCACTCTTCCCTCAAAAGCTCCTCACTATCCTACAAAGGGCCCCAGCCCAGAGACATCAACATGTTCTCCTCCGCCCACGAGCTGTCCGATGGAAAGCTGCTGGCCCGCAGGATTTCGGAGGAAGACCCCTACGGCGCCATGGACTACGACGGCATCAATGACGCCATCACCCGCCTCAACCTGAAGTCCACCTATGACACGGATCTGCTGAGAGAGGCCACCTGGGGCTGGAAGGAAGGCAGGAACATCTTTGAGAAGGAGACCACTGGAAAGCCAGTGGCTCGGAGCAAGACCATGCCACCCCAAGTCCCTCCCAGGACCTACGTCTCTAAGTTTGGCAACCGGAAGAACGTGGCGCCCAACAAGAACCGCAGGATCTCAGTGGATCCGGTAAGAGGCTTTTGGCTTTCTCCTTAGAGGCTGGGCTGAGAGAAGCAGGTGTGAACCCCACCCCAATCCTAGGCTGCTCCTACCCATTCACAACTGCCCTTTCTAAGCTTGACCTCTAGGATTCAATTGGGAGTGGGTTTACCTCCATTAACGGCCTTACAGGGTTGTCTTCACTGCATTGTAAACCTGGGTCTGAGGGACCCATGCTTGTGGACTTGGTGTTTCCAAGCATGTTTGAGAGTCCACACTGCACTGTAAACCTGGGTTGACAATTGCTGGACCCGCGTCTCAGCCGCGCAAACACATCCATACTGCACCACTTCTGACTCGGGTCTGTGAATTGACCTGCATCCACAATGCAAAATGAGTGCTTGCTGATGTTAGTCAGACTCATTTGTGTGTGGGCGGAAGGCGGGCTTGGTCTCAAACCCAAGTCAGAGCCTGGGCTTAGTGCCCAGTGTAGACATATCCGTAGAGAGCCCTCACCCCTTCCACCACCACCATAGATGGGAGCTGGGCCATGTTCAGGTGTGCGAGGGAGGCCTTGCTGGAAGAACCGGAGAGCACAACAAAAGGGAGATCTGGCGAGTAGACCCCCATACTGTAGGGACAAGGGGGCAGGGCAGGAGGTGGAGAGGAGTCCAAGGCCCGAAGGATTTGATAGGGTTCCATTTGCAGGGGTCAGTGGGGGAAGCGGGTGCTGGCTCGGCAGGGCAGGGCTCATGGCGTGTCTGTGAACTAGCACTACACACAGCTGAGACCAGGCCTGCAGCTGGAGGATGGTCTACTAGACTAGATGGCCAGGGAGCAGATGTAATGACTGCGAGGCAGCAAGAGCCAGGGAAGTGATGCATACCAGAGGAGCTGGGGTGTGGCCTTGCACAGAGACAGCCTGACCTCCTCAGGCTTCTCTCTGCATGCAAATAATCTGTGTGTGTCTCTCTCTCCCCGCCCTTTGTCCCCTGACTACTGTAGAGAAACCAGCTTGACTCTGGCTCCCTGTGTCATTCTGTGTTGTCCAATGTGTTGTTTACGCATCTTTATTAAGGATGTCTGTGCACTGGCTCTGGCCCCTTTCCCTGGGGGCGTCAGTAAGATCCCTTTCCTGAAAACACATTGCCCAAGAGGTGTTGGATCATGAGGCTGTGGCCTTAACCCTTCCGGAGGGTAGATCAGAGTGAGGAAATCAGCCTCTGGAGGCAGCAGGGGAGAAGAAATGCAAATCCTGTGACAGCCCAGTCAGCAGCTGGTTGTGATATTGCTATGCAAGGATCCGCCCGGATGCTAGAGACCTCGTGCGCATTCCCCTCTTTCCAAGCACCGATTCCCTCTCTCCTTTCAGCTCAGGCAACATCTGGGCCTCACTGGGCAGTTCTGGGTGTGGCCACAGCCACCAAGTGAATTTGTGGGGCTAGGCAAGGATTCTCAAACTCTTCCCTAGTGTGAGCTGTAGCTAAACCAAGAGATGGTCTCATGATTCCCTCCCCTCCCATCTGCCATCACCCACTTCCCCTGCCATTCGCACGTGCATAACTTCCCTGGGGCAACTACAGCCATTGCTGGCATCAGAAAGCAATAGGGGGAAAGTGTTTCCTGTGCTTATGGTAGCTGGAAAGAAGGACGAGGAGCTGGCACCTTGTGATCAGCTGGGTCTTTGCAGCAGGGCCGCCCAGAGGATTCAGGGGGCCTGGGGTCTTTGGCGGCAGGGGGACCCCGCCGCCGAATTGCTGCCGAACACCCGGCACTTCGGCGGCGGGTCCCGGGGCAGAAGGACCCCCGCCGCTGGTCTTCAGGGCACTTCGTCGGCGGGTCCTGGGGCGGAAGGACCCCCGCCGCAGGTCTTCAGGGCACTTCGGCGGCGGGTCCTGGGGCGGAAGGACCCCCCGCCGCGGGTCTTCAGGGCACTTCGGCAGTGGGTCCCAGAGCGGAAGGACCCCCCGCCGCCGAACTGCCGCCGAAGACCCGGAGCGGAAGAAGCTCCGGGGGCCCGGGCCCCGTGAGAGTTTTCCGGGGCCCCCGGAGCGAGTGAAGGACCCCGCTCCAGGGGCCCTGAAAAACTCTCGTTGGGGCCCCTGGGGGGCCCGGGGCCTGGGGCAAATTGCCCCACTTGCCCCCCCCTCTGGGCGGCCCTGCTTTGCAGACCCTGAGCAAAGTGCTCCGCATGCCAGTTTGACAAGCACTAGTCTAGGGGACACTCATGAGTTCTGAGAGCCCTTTTCCCCACATCTGCACCTGCTCTTCCTCCTCCCCTCCCCCCCCAGGTACACCATGCCCAGGAGTGGTAACCTTTCGTCACAGAATGCCGGGATCCTTATTGCTGCAAAATTGCCATGGGGCCTTGACGGGCCATTGACCACCAGCATTCAGGACCTTGATTTTAAGACTCAGCTGCAGGTCTCTAGCACTCAGACCTACGATGCCTTTTACAATCTGCCCAGGATCATTCGGGAATCCATCCCTATTGATTTGGTTGGCTATCCCAACAAATAAAGCTTCTGACCGGGGCACTTTGGCACTGCCCATACATTGCTGCTGGTCGGTGGCCTGTTGTGACACAGGCATCCATGTGCTTCCTTGAACTACAGCCCTGGAGACTACAACTGTTTGTGCTATTTATAAGGTCCAGGGGGAAAGTCCAAGCTAAAAGTAGTGTCCAGCAAAAGCCTTCCCCAGCCAGGCAGGATCTGCGTCTCCAGCCCTGACGGTTCTATCTGCTCTTCCTGGTAGCGAGGCTAACAGCTTGTGAAATGTCACAAGATCCTCAGGAAAGAGACTGGAGTCTCCTTGTAAGCAGCAGTGTGACTGCTTTCCTGCTGGGGCGGAGGAGGGTACCAAAATATCCTTTGGATCCAACCTTGCTTTCTTCCCCTGCCATCCCGTTTAAAATATATATATTCCCGGGCCCTTCCTGGTGCTGTCCTAGCAGGATTCCTGCTGGAAAGGGGGCTGCATCACATTCAAGTCTGTGGCTGGGGATATCCCCTCCACACCCCAGCACATGGTAGCAGCAGCTAATCAGGGAATGTGTGTGTGGGGGCGGTGAGGATCCTTCTCGGATGTGATGCAGAGGACCATGCCTCCAGGACCGGAGGGATATAAATACAAGTGAAGTCACCTTCCCTGTTAAGTCCTGCAGGACCCCCCCTCTCCTCGGTCAGTGAAAGATGCAGCTGGGGGCCGCTGGTGGGGGTTATGTAAGTCACTCTCTGTTTAATCGGAGCCAGAAACTAATCATGAAAGAGCATTAAAATAGTCTTTAGCGGCGGTTGTGTTCTCTCCCTTTCTCTCCCTCCCTTTCGCTATTCGGTGGGTTAATTGCTCTGACAGTGGACCCATTGTCTGCTCAGAAAGAGCGAGCGAGGCTCTGAGCCCTGGGCGCGCACACGCACGCATGGCGCGAGACTGAGCGTGGCACTCGGCAGGCTGCTGCCTGCCCAGCTGGCATTCAGGAGGGAGGGGGAGAGAGATTTTAAACAGGTGGTAGGGGAATGGGGGCCCCTGCTGGAACGGAAACCCCTTTGGGGGATGTTCCTCTTGTTTCATGGTTCGAAGCGCCAGGAAGTTTCTTCGTTAGCTTTTGATGTTTGAATGTGCTTTATGTCAATGGAGAGGCCACGTAGTCCAGATGGGAGGGCACGGGGCTATTTGTGATCTATTCCTGCCTCTGCCTTGCTGCATTGCCCTGGGCAAGTCACTTTGCCTCATTCCCCATCTTGTCTGTTTAGATGACAAGCTCTTGAAAGTAGGGACTGTCTCTTACTATGCGTATGTACAGCGCCTAGCGTAAAGGGGCTCTGATCTTATTTGGGGCTGCTAGGCTTTACAGTAGTACAAATACTAATATGGGACTGTGGAATAGTCACCACTAGTGGAAGCCTCTTTGCTTGGCTCTTTTACAAGTAGATGAAAAGATCTGCTCTGGTTCAAAGGAATGATTATGGGGCAGTTCTCTGGCCTGTGTTATACAGGAGGGCAGACTAGATGATCACAGTGGTCCCTTCTGGCCTTGAACTCACGAATCTATGACTAGCCGTTGTGCTGAAAATGCTCCATGAGGAACTGTTCTGCATTGGTCAGATGGGACCTGCCAGAGCTTTTCCATCTCTAGTTGCTGTGACTCTGATTCTCTTCCCCTTCTCTGTTATTTTATTAACATGACCGTGAAAATAATTGTGTAGCCACTTGTAGCATTCACTGTACTGGTGCACAGGGTGGGACGAACTGCTTACTTCATAGGCTTATACCTGAAGTGTGAAGCCAAGCCCCAGGCTCTATGGCACTTGGGGGGACATAGGTGGCTTTGTGCCAGCCAACTTGCCCTTTCCCAGGCTGTTGTGCTGCTGGAGACTAAACTGCCCCGCAGCACAAGTGAGGGTAGCCTGAGAACTGTTCTAACTTATGCGAGAAGAGAGCATCTCCATCCGCTGGCCAGGAGTACTGGGGCGCTGGTCCTATGCCAGCTGAAGATTCCCCTAAGGAAAGGCAGCTTTTAATCCCCTCTGTGCTGATCCAGTAACACACAGGGGCATTTATGAGCTCTGAGGATTTAGCCTCTTGTGTGTTAGCTACATAATGTGCATTACACTCCATGTAGGAGATGCCCTGTGTGTTCAGTAGTAATAACATCGTGTATTTCTCTAGCATCCTCCAGGTGAGCATCTCCAAAGCCTGCTGGTGGGAGCATAGTCTTGTAGCAAAACTGAAAGACTGGCATTCCCCTGAGCTCCTGGGTTCCCTGCTCAGCTCGGCCACTGACTCACTGTGTGAGCTTGGCCAAGGCCTAGAAGCCTACATTTTCAAGTGCCCTCAGTTTTTGGATGCCCGACATGAGAGAACTTGGGCCTGATTATCAGAGGTGATGAGCACCTGCATGTAGCCAGTGGGAGCAGCGGGTGCTTAACACCTCTTCAATTCAGGCCATTGTGTCTCCAGCTGGGCACCCGAGACTAACAGGCACATTTGAAAATCCACCCTAAATGCTGGACCCAAATTAGTGTCAGGGATAGAATCCAAGAGTCCTGACTCCATTTCTTGCTCCACTTTGCCCCTAGAATATACGTGTATGTGAGCACGTTTCATATCCCCTTCTGTTAACCTCAGAAGTATAAACCCTGTCTCAGCAGAGTAGCTATGCTGTCCCTCATTCGCCCAGCCTTTGGGCATCACCAAAGGAAAAGGAAGTGCATACATCCTGTGCATGTCATCCATGTGCCATCACTCAGACTGGTGGTAAGAGTGACACCAACACTTCATATGGCAGAGAGGCAGAATGGCCAGATCAGATCAATGGACTGCTTAGCTTGATATTTCATCTAGGGTTGCCAGGTGTCTGGTTTTCGACTGGAACGCCTGGTCAAAAAGGGACCTTGGCGGCTCTGGTCAGCACTGCTGACCGGGCCGTTAAAAGTCCAGTCGGCAGCACGGCGAGGCTAAGGCAGGCTCCCTGACTGCCATGGGTTTACGTGGCTCCTGGAAGCAGCGGCATGTCCCCCCTCTGGCTCCTAGGCATAGGGGCAGCCGGGGGCTCTGCACGCTGCCCACACCCCAAGCACTGGCTCTGGACCTCCCATTGGCTGGGAACCGCAGCCAATGGGAGCTGCGGGGTGACACTTGTGGATGGGGCAGCACGCAGAGCCACCTGGCTACACCTCTGTGTAGGAGCTGGAGGGAAAACATGCCGCTGCTTCCGGGAGCTGCCTGAGGTAAGTGCCGCCTGGAGCCTGCACCCCTCACCCCCTCCCATGCCCCAGCCTGCTGCCCCAGCCCAGAGCCCCCTCCTGCACCCCAAACCCCTCATTCCCGGCCTCACTCCAGAGCCCGCACCCCCAGCCAGAGCCCTCACCCCCTACCGCATCCCAACCCACTGCCTTAGCCCAGAGCCCCCTCCTGCAACCTGAACTCCTCATTTCTGGCCCCACCCCAGAGCCCGCCCCCCCAGCCGGAGCCCTCACTCCATCCCGCACCCCAGCCCTCTGAGCCAGCCCAGTGACAATGAGCAAGTAAGTGAGGGTGGGGAGAGCAAGCAACAGTGGGAGGGGGGATGGAGTGAGCCTCGGAGGAGGGGCGGGGAAGGGGGCGGGGCAAGGGTGTTTAGTTTTATGCGAGTAGAAAGTTGGTAACCCTAATCTCATCTGTGCCAGTGGCCAGCAGCAGTTGCTTTAGAAGAGGGTGCATGAAACCCCATAATAGACATTTATGGAACCACCTGTCCTTAGGAGAAGTTTCTTCCTGACCCCATCTGTTAGTGGCTGGTTTATATCCTGAAGCATGAGAGTTGAAACTCAACCATAAAACTCAAATCCTTTCTTTTTAAACTATTTTAGTTCTTTGCCTTCAGCTATATCCAGAAGCAATGAGTTCTGCAGTTCATCACTGTTAGAGCTGGTCAGAAAATGCAACATTTTCCACAAAAATTGTAAATAAAATTAAGTGTTCATTTTATTCAAAAAATGTTGCTGAATTTTTGTCTGTTTTTCAGCAAAACAAAAACTGAAACTTATTTTTATTTTCAGTGTTTCAGTTCCCCTCCTCCTCTGGTCACTTTTGTTTCCACTGGAAAATCGGGGGTTACTAGGGGAAAAAGGGAAGGGGTGGGGGGAATACTTTTTTACTGGTAAAATATCCAGAATTTCAATGCAAATGAAAATTTCCTGTAGAAACTTTAATTTTGGTTGGAAAGCCATTTAAAAAAAAATTATACAATGAAAACATTTCAACCCGCTCTGATTACTGTACCCCTTCTCCGCATGCTGCATCTTACCTTGCTCCCTAGTCAAAGGAGAATTTCCATTAAATGTGTTAGCCCCTCTCTGCCGTTTGTAATAGCGATGCTCAGAGAGGAACAGTTTCCGACAACAGTTGCGGTAACACCACACCAGCTTGTGTCTGGCTGTCACATGAATTTCCCAGGCCTCTACCACTTTTGCCCACAATCCGGCCTCATGGGGCCAGCCAAGTTGTCCCACAATGCTCAGCGAAAGCAAGCCCAGAGCGTCCAAGTGAGCAGTGGTGCTATGAACCCTGGGATGCGCACCCAGAAATATTTGCGTCTCTCGCAACTGGATCCAGTGAAAGGGAGAGGAACCACGTCTTGTTCGCCCACAGGGCCGCCCAGAGGATTCAGGGGGCCTGGGGCAAAGCAATTTCGGGGGCCCCTTCCATAAAAAAAAGTTGCAATACCATAGAATACTATATTCTCGTGGGGGCCCCTGTGGGGCCTGGGGCAAATTGCCCCACTTGCCCCCCCACTCTGGGCGGCCCTGGTCGCCCAACTCGAGGGTAGACTGCAGTGAAGACATAGCCTATGCGTGTTATGGGGGGGGAAGGGAGTAAGAAGCATCCCATGGTGACTTGGAAATGAGCTCAGCGGAGTGGGAAATTGGGGCCCTTCCACTCCATTGGCTGCTGGTTGCATGAGCTTTCTTGCTACTATCCCTGCATCTCTTGCTCTCTTTCTGTGTTAGGTTGCCTCCCGACCGCACTCCTTAGCTAATGGCTATGAGCTGTTTGAGGTCTCCGAGGAGAGGGACGAAGAGGTGGCTGCTTTCTGCCACATGCTAGATGTGTAAGTACCTGGGAGGGATTGAGACGCGTTCAAGCCGTCTTTCTGGGGTCTCCCCTTCGTTAACTGCCCTGCAGCACAGGCCATAACTCGGAGGTCTGTCAGTGCACTGGTGGCTGAAATGCCCTGGGGATTTAATTACTGTGGCTTAATTAATCTTGGGAGAAGGAAGACATGCCTTTTGTTGTCTCCGCTGTTTGTGCTGCATGGTGGCTAAGCAGTGGCGCCGGGGAAGGGTCATTCCTGGGGTGCGAGTGATGAGACGACAAGCCCATTTTTGCTGGGCAGTGATTGGAATCTTTGGCACAATTCCGTGCAAAGCAGCACAGGAGAGGGGGGTGGGGGTGGCGCCCAGTTGGTGTTTGAAAGCTATAAAAGAGGCATTCGGGGGGACAACATAAGGATGCCCCTTTCTGCTCTGTTCAACACTTTGGGGCTGGGAGAGCTTTATAGAGGGACAGCGTGGGGAGATGGTAAATATCTTCTTAACATTCAGGGCTACATTGCCGCATGTAGGTGAGGGAAGGAGGGGAAAGCAAGAGGGGGAACTAAGACCATTTAGGACTCTCTTAGGCGGATGGTTTCCCGACATAAGGAAACTGAATGCACCAAGGCAAGCAAACAGAGGTCTGCTGTCTGGCTAGCTGCACTAAAAGCTGGTTTCAAGTCAATATTAAGCATGATATCCGTGATCCCTGCTGGCCACCTGCTTAGTTATTGCCAACCGGCAATTTCCCTTAGGCGTTGCAGCCTTAGTTCTGGAGTGGGAGGTGGCTTTGCAGATTAGTTCAGAGAGGGCGTGCTGTGCATAAGGGGTGGCTTGCAAGGATGCACAATGGCACATGGGAGAAATGAAAAACAGGTGATGGAGGCTGGTATCTCAGCTAGAGAGAGAAGGTGGAGTCCAAGACACAAGCTCCAGGCCTGAACCGCTTGGAGGAAGGCTGTGCTGATGGTGACAGAGAAAGAGGGGAGCAGGAGGATTTAGCTGGCATGGGCCACGTCAAGCTCAGGCTGGCCATGAGACATCCGTGAGGAGATGTCAAAGAGTCAGGCCGAGATGCAGGACTGCGTGGAGGGAGGCGAGTTGGAGAGAGAGAGGTAGATGGTGGGAGTCACTGGTGTCGGCCATGTGAGCCGATGAGATCACTAGGAGCTAGGTTGTAAAGGGAGGAGAAGAGGCCAGGAGAGAGTCCTCTGGTGCCTCTATGGAAAGGAGGCGAGAGGAAGGGGAGAATCCACCACACAGTGAGGGATAAAGCCCTTTGTGGATGGGGCAGGGATCTCTAACTCCTCTTCTGTCCCTCCCCCCACTTCTGCCTGCAGCTTGAGATCCGGCTACAGCACCAAGGACTATTCCCTCACCGGCTTTGTCTGGAGCACGGTCAACCTCAGCCCTGAGCACCTGGGCCACGGCATCAGCCTGAAGGTGACCGTGGTGTGCGACAGCGTGCAGGAACCCCTCACTTTCACCTGTGACTGTAAGTCTCTGCTAGGGTGGTAAGTATGGTGCTTTGCTGCCCTCACGTCCACCTATGAACACGGTATCCTCGTGCGGCGAGAAACCCACACCTCCGCCGGTCCCCACAGCAATGAGGGGGCTAAGATGGCTGCCATTAGCAGCTCAAGCGGTGGTGTCTTCTGCCTCCTCCTGCAAATTCATCTTCCAGCTCCTATGGGACAGACGTGATCCTGGTGAAAGTGGCTCCTCTCCCAGAGGAGAGAGTGTCTGTGTTGCCCCCATGGGCGGATATGTGCTAGAGATGGGGCCCCCCCATCTAAACCCTGGGTTCTGAATTTCTCAGTGTCCCCCTGTGATGAGCAGCACCAAATGCTGCATCCGAGAAGGCCAGAGTGGGGTTGAGATCCAGGTGCAGATGTCTCAGCTCGTTTTCACTCTCCATCACTGCATGTGCACCAGGGTCTCTGGTCCTCTTTTGGATGTGGTTGCTTGGATACGACTAAGGCAGGATAAGCCTTAAATTACAGGCCTGATCCAAAGCCCATTGAAGTTAATAGGAGTGTCTCCACTGACTTTGATGGGCCATGGGCCGCTTGTGGCCCAATCAGCACGCAGCTGCGGCCCATGTGATATCTTCAGGGCCATACGAGTAGTATATATATTGTGTGGATGTGGCATGTGGCCCACATAACACACAGAGGGCTGCATATGCGATCCACAATGGTAAATAGGTTGAGAACCACTGCCCTAGGCGGTGGCTTGCCGCATGGTTTAGACGCTGCCCGGGATCTCGCCATGCAGGAATGGGACACTGTGGAGGCAGCGTGCGCTTCCTCGCGTGACTCCACCTCCAGCCGGGTGCAGAGAGAGATTGTGGGGAGTAGAGTCTCGGTCACTGAAACGGGTGGGATGGGGAGCCCAAGAGAATCGTGGCCTGAAGCTCTCGCCCTGCGGGGTTTGTTCCCTCCCTGCCCCCACAGGCTCCTCCACGGTGGACCTGCTCATCTACCAGACGCTGTGCTACACGTACGACGAGCTGCTCGGCATTGACGTGGACGACTTCGTGCTCAAGCTCTGCGGCCTGGAAGAGTTCTTGCAAAAGTGAGTGAACAAGCAGTGGCCGGCCGGCCGCACGTAGGGACCTCAGCGAGCCTGCCCTAGTGCACCCAGAACACCCCCTGGTGTCCGGGGGAGCGGTCGGTGGTGGAGAGCTGTCGAATCCTAGCTGTGCTAGGGGCAGGAAAAGGGGAGCGAGCCCCCAAACATCTTCCTCTGTCCCCTCTTTCGTTTGTCCTTCCTTTCATGCTTCTTTGCACGTTCACATGACAAGCCCTGTGGTTGCTGTTGGGCCCAGCCCCTCCCACTTTCCTCGGGGCACTGCGTCTCCTGAACGGGTCGGTGTTGTGCAATAGCTGGGTTTATCTGAACGCAAGTCAGGAGCCCCCTGGATTATTCCATTTCCTGCCTCCCGACATCACTGGGACTCTCCTGCCAAGAAAGGCAGGAGCCTTATCTTCCTGCTGCAGGATATAAGTAACTCCCCTTGACCCCATGCGCTGGGGAGCTCATGTTTGGAGAATATTAGAGGGCGGCCAAGAAAAGCTCTTGAAATACTAATAAAAATCCTGATGATACTCAGCGAAGTGACTGGGTCAGGCAATCAAGTTGAGAGCTTAATTTTTGGTCTTTATTTTTAAGTGGCTGGCAAAAGGCTGCCAGCTAGGGCCGGCTGAACAGGGTAAATAGAAATTTGGAGGGGGAGAGGGAAGGGGGTTTTGAAAACGGTTTGGTTTTGCCAAATTTTCCTGCTGACAATATTTTTATGCTTTTATGATGAAACCCCCCAAATGTGCTGGTGCTTCCTCCCATTTGGGAAGCTGAAAAATGTCAAACAAAATGCAACTTAAAAAAAAAAAAGAGGGGGGGTCCAGGCGGGGGGGGGGGGGGGGGGGGGGTTTAATGGAATATGTTTGCCCAGCTGTGGTGCAAGCCTATTTAACCTTTGCGGAAGGCCTGGGACCCTTGAAACGACCCCAAAGCCTCCGTCTCCATTAGAGAGGACTGGAGGGCCCCCCAAAAAATAGAGGCCAGCAAAATACCCAAACCCAGGGTTGTGAGTTCAATCCTTGAGGGGGCCACTTAGGGATCTGGGGCAAAAATCTGTCTGGGGATTGGTCCTGCTTTGAGCAGGGGGTTGGACTAGATGATCTCCTGAGGTCCCTTCCAACTCTGATATTCTATGATTCTATGAAAATACATGGACAAATAAAGTGTAGGGATGGGTCTGAGGAAAAACGAAACGGGGAACCAGTGGTGATTAAGGAACCAAGAGATTGTAAATTCTTTGGGGCAGGGACCGTCTCTGTTCTGTATTTGTACAGCATCTAGGACAATGGGACCTGGTCCATGACTGGGTTTCCTAGACGCTACAGCAACACAGGTAATAAATAATCCTGTGGGGAAAGGTGCCATAGTGACTGACATCCTCTGCATAGCCACAGGACAAGTGTGACTGCAAGATTTCCCACGTTGCCCTGCTGATGTGTCTCACCTGGTGGGACCACGTCTAGGAGGGAAAAGATTTCGTTCAGTCTCCATTGCCCGTTCTGTCCTCCTTAGGGTGGCCCGTTAGTGCTAGTGGCTAGTTTTTGTGATGTGGACAGGTATTCTCTGGGAACTAGACTGAGACCCATCTTCTTGATTTTGCCACCAAACAGCCTGCAGGCTCTAACAATGAGCTGGTGGTGAAAGCCTCCTTGCCCCTGAGCCATCTGCGGTCCCCTACTTTGGCTTTTTCCTTTGCTAACTCTCAGTTTGCTCCTGTGTGCTCTGAGCTCCTAGCAAAACAAGGATGCTCAGGGGGACACTGGAGCAATGGCCGGCCAGTGACTGAAGTCACCCCACTTGTCATTCACCATCATTAAGTGTCAGTCTCTCCATGACGGAGTTACTCCCAGTTGGTGGGACTTTAAAGGTGGCTTTAGTTTTGCCTCTTCAGAGCTTGTGGCCCAGTAATGATGCCGGAGAATGTGAGCTGGCAAGCGAAAACCCCCTATTATCCTGGCTGGGCTGTCAGTGAACAGACTTTTAAACCACATGGAGTCCTCAGCAGAGGATGGCTTGGAGCGTGCAGGAGACCAGCTCCAAGGGAATAAACCGCCCAGACCAGTTTGCTTTCCAGCATGGAAAGCAATAAAAGCTTTCTAGTCTCAGGGCTATTTCCGGCTCCTCTGCAGCCCTGGCAGGCTGTACCATAGCTTTAACCACAGGCTGGCTTTCTTTGCAGTCATGGAGGGAAGAGTCTGTATGTAAATGGCTTAGAGAGCAAAGTCTCAGGTCTGGCATTACCAGCCTTCCTGAAACCACAGGTTTTAGTCCCAGCAGGGGAAGCTCAGCCTTTCATCCTTCCCAGGTAGAAGAGTCGAGTACTACTGATGTCCTTGACTGCTGCACATGGGCATTAAAGATCGCCTGGTGCTTTTTGTCATTGCAGCTGTTTGCCCTGATACAAACTTCCCTTCCCTGCGTTTTGACGTTGCCTCCACCCCAGAGGCTGCTGCATTTCATGGGTGGAGGAAGTGTTTTTCTGTAGATAAGCTATCTGTAAAGCTCCTTAGAATGAAAGGCGTTCTCTGGGCTCAAAATCATATAGATGTAACATACATGGCCGTATGGGCAAATAAAACATCTCCTGGTAATTACATACAATAAACCAGAACAAGCTGCCCTAAGGACCTGACTCTGCTTCAACAAAGTCATTGGGAGCTTTGCTATTGACTTGACTGGCCACAGAATTAGGCCCTAAAGGGGCAGTTGGGAAGTCTCCTTGTGCAGGGGAATCTCCTGGTTGGCTCCATTCCAGCCATTCCCCGCCCTCTGCATAAAGGGCGTGATTAGGATTGGGCAGGGGGCGAGGCTGTGCTCCTTGTGCTCCAGCAAATCTTGCCCGGCTGGCAGAATGGCCCTAGTTGCTCCAGCCCTTTAGAGCAGCCCTTCGTCTTAGAATCGCCTTTGCCCTGTTTTCCATCTGCCCCGAGCTCATGCGTGGCTGAGGAATAAGCCCAATATCTATTAGTTGTGTGTGTGTGTATTTTAGAGAGGGCCGTGTGCAAACCATATATATTAAAGAGCCATATTTACCAAAGCACATAGATATATGACCTATATAGAAAATCTCTTCGGATGATTGCCATTGCAACTGCAGTGGATTGCTGGAAATGCCTCTCTCCAGAGGGAGTTTGGCTAGCCTTGAGGGGAAAACTCTGCCAGTTGAGAACTGGCAAGACCATTCCAGCCTCCGAGCTAAGGGACCAAAACGAGCTGCAAATTCTCCTCATTAGCCGCTGGGCTTTTTCTACTGATGCTGTCAGCGTCAGCAGAAAAATTGTCTTCCTTTGTGTATAATGAGCCTTAACCAGAAGCAGCCTCCCTCTGAAAAAGTAATTTACATCAGATGAGGGAATAATGCTCCCGACTTGTCATCTGCAGGCTCCTCCTGGTCTTTTTTTCTTTTTTCTTAAAAGGATCTGGTGTACGGTTACAAAGAGAGGAGACAGCTTTTCTCTCATCCTTGCATCTAAAGCACAAACTGACTGCAGAGGGTGGCAGAGAAAGGCAATGTTGAAAACTTTTGCACAGGCACAAAAGGGTGTCTGATGTCAGCTTTGCTTCAGGGAGGGAGGAAGGCTGGTCTTGTGGTTAAGGCACCGAGCTGGAACTCAGGAGAGCAGGATTCCAATCCTGGCTCTGCCACAGACTCACTCACTGTGTAACCTTAGTCAAATCACTTCATCCCTCTCTGTGCTCTGTTCCCTATCTATAAAAGAGGCTATAATATTTTCTTTCTTCTATCCTTTGTCTCTTTAGATTGTGAACTCTTCAAGACAGGGACTGTATCTTATGTGTATGTACAGCACCTAGCACCATGGGGAGCTAATCTCGGCCCAGGCATGTTGAGGCTAGAGTAATACAAATAAGTCCTTTTTTTTTTTCAGCTGTCTAATCGACATGCCCTGCTCATCGCTGTGAATCTTTGCACACATTTGGCAATGACACGGCTCGTCTTTGCTATGGGCTGTGTCCCCTCTTGGCAGGGAACAGCATGTCTTGGGTTAGAGCAAAGATGTTCCCTGTCTCTTCTCCTACCCCCCACCCCCCACACACACTCTGAAGGGTCCCTAATGAGCTGGGGTGAGAATGCGGTGCTCCATTTCACTGGTCTCCTGGAAAGACCTTGGAGGAAAGCCCCTGAACAAAGCCACATTGTTTCTGATCTCCCCGCCCCCCTTCTCTAAAATGCAGTAGATGCCAGGAGTGCTCAAAGCCTCCCCTAGCTGTTTTGGCCAACCAGGCTGCTCAGCAATCAGAAAACATCCTACACTGACACGTCGGTTTCTGGACTCTCTGGGCTTGATTCTTCTCTCACTCACGCCCAGTGCAAAGCAGGAGCAAGTCCACTGAAGTCAGTGGAGATGTACTGGTGTAAACAAGAGGGACATAAGGCCCTCAGTGTTCAGTCTTCAGCCAGGCTCCTTCCCCCCACTGAAGTCCCTTCTCCAGCAGATATAACATAAGCTTCCCCTGCTCCGTCCTCACCAACGTCCTTTGCCCCTGATCCGGAGAGATGACAGGGGAACTCCTTCTCCACGGCCTGTTCAAACTTTGTCACTTTCAATGGTGACTTTTGTGAAGGAGGCACCAGTCTGACTGAGACTCAGCAAACTCACTTCACTCCCGTCACTAATCACCGGTGCTCAATTGGAGGCAGTGATACTGAACCCAAAGGGCCCATAACCAATAGCCCCTTCACTATGCTAGATATAGGCTGTGCTGAAATCCATACCTATTTACCATGCTGGATGCCCCAGAAATGCCTAGATTAGATGGCAGATTTGTCGTCAGGCGGCTGCAAACATGCAAAGCCAGTGACTATTTCTGGTCCTACGCTACTAAGTAACTATCTATCTAAAGTTCTTTTATGAGCCCCATTACTATAGCATCTGAGCACCTCATAATCTTCAGTGTATTTGTCCTGCCCCTGTGAGGTAGGGCAGGGTTATCATGCCTTTTGTATAAGTGGGGAACTGAGGCACAAAGAGGCTAAGTGACTTGCCCAAGGTCACACAGGGAATCAGTGCCAGAGCTGGGAATTGACCCACCATCTATAGAGTCCCAGGGTCATGCCCTAACCACTGGATCATCCTTCCTTCCTAACTAGTTTCTATTTTTTTTTATCATCAACAACCTGTTGTTAAAATAATAACACACAAACCAGTACCCAGTGTGCTACCATTTTGGTATGATACCCCAGGAACAATGTGCTAGCTCCCCCGATGGGTCTGCAGATAATTAACAAGCTGTTCACAAAGCCACACACCCACCAGTTACCAGGGTGTCCAGTCCCCTATACCGAGGCAGACTAAGTATTATCTAGCCCATCCATGAGAAGGTGTTTCTCTGACTGCTCTTAAAAATCTCCAATGACAGAGATTTCACAGCCTCCCTAGGCAATTTGTTCCAGTGTTTAACTACCCTGACTGTTAGGAAGTTTTTTCAACTGTCTAACCTAAATCTCCTTTGCTGCAATTTAAGCCCATTACTTCTTATCCAGTCCTCAGTGGTTAAGGAGAACAATTTATCACCCTCCTCTTTATAACAACCTTTTACGTACTTGAAGACTGTTATCATGTCCCCCCCTCAATCTTCTCTTCTCCAGACTAATCAAATTCAATTTTTTCAGTCTTTCCTCCTAGGTCATGTTTCCTACATCTTTAATCATTTTATCAGAGGGGTAGCTGTGTTAGTCTGTATCCACAAAAACACCGAGGATTCCGGTGGCACCTTAAAGACGAACAGATTTATTTGGGCATACGCTTTCGTGGGTAAAAAACTTGTCTATTGTCAAAGGCGCTAACTCAATCGCCATGTAAACTGTCTCAGTCTGAACCTCTTGTGCTCATCAGCAATCTTTTGTTTTCCTCCTGCTGCAAGACTGAAAATAGATAGTTTTTGGTCTGTTCAGAATATCCTAGAATTTCTGCAGATTAATCTAGATTTGGGTGACAGTTCTGTTAAGAAAACAATGAGGAGTCCAGTGGCACCACCAGATTCCTCATTGTTTTAATCATTTTGTTGCTCACCTCTGGACTTTGTCCAGTTTGTCCACATCTTTCCCAAAGTGTGGTGCCCAGAACGGGACGCAGCACCCCAGTTGAGGCTTCATGAGTGCTGAGTAGAGCTTTTCGTGTCTTACTTCTCGTGTCTTGCTTACAACACTCCTGCTAATACATCCCAGAATGACGTTCATTTTTTTTGCAACAGCGTTACACTGTTGACTCATATTTAGTTTGTGATCCACTATCACCCTACATCCTTTTCTGCAGTACTCTTTATTAGTACTCTTTAGGATTCTTCTTTAGCCATTTCCCATTTTGTATTTGTGCAATTGATTATTCCTTCGTGAGTGGAGTACTTTGCATTTGTCCTTATTGATTTTCATCCTGTTTATTTCAGACCATTCCTCGAGTTTGTCAAGACCATTTTGAATTCTAATTCAGTCCTCAAAAGCATTTGCAACCCCTCCCAGCTTGGTATAGTCTACAGACTTTATAAGTGTCCTCTCTATGCCATTGTCCAAATCTTTTATGCTAGAACCAGACCTAGCATAGATATGTCCTTCCAGCTTGCCTGTGAACCATTGACAACTGCTCTTTGAGTGTGGTTTTCCAGCCAGTTGGAACCTTGCAATAGTTTCACCTAGGCTATATTTCCCTAGTTTGTTTATGAAAAGGTCATGAGAGACAGTATCAAAAGCCTTACTAAAACTGAGATATATCACATCTAGTGCTTCCCTCCTATCCACAAGGCTTGTTACCTCGTAGAAGAAGGATATTAGGTTGGTTTGACATGATTTGTTCTTGACAAATCATATTGACTGTTACTGATCACCATATTATCTTTTAGGTGCTTACAAATTGATTGTTTGGTTATTTGCTCCATTATCTTTCTGGGCAGCAAAGTTAAGCTGACTGGTCTATAATTCCCTGGCTTGTCCCTATTCTCCTTTTTATAGACAGGTAGTATATTTGCCCTTTTCCAGTCCTCTAGGATCTCTCCTGTCCGCCACAAGTTCTCAGAGATCATCTCTTATGGCTCCGAGATCTCCTCAGCTAGTCCCTTAAGTATTCTAGGATGTGTTTCACAAGGCCCTACTGACTTGAAGACATCTAACTTGTCTAAGTAATTCTTAACTTGTTCTTTCCTGATTTTAGACTCCGATCCTACCCCATTTACACTCATGTTTGTTGTCTGATTTCCGCTAACCTTTTTGATGAAAACGGAATCAACCAATGCTCTATTGTTGTAGGGCAGAGTGCAGGCAAGAGGTGTGTTGGGAGTGCTGAGGATGTGGAGAAAATCAGAGAACCTGAATTAAAAATCCTCTCACTGGGACCAGGGTCTGGGCACTTCTGCCCCAGCGACCCCAGTCGCAACCCCCCTCCAGGCCTTGGGCTATCACTGGGCACTTAGTCCCACCACCTCAAAGTCTCACCACTTCCCCACTCCTGAACTTGCCTGGTTATGTTAGGCAGTTGCACCAGCTGTGTGTGGGGTGCAGGTCAGGATGCAGGCTGTGCTGAGATAAGAACCAGCTATTCCTGCCGGAGCAGCCTGGGAGAGGCAGGGCTTCCTGCTGCAGCTTCCCCCACTCCTGCATTGTTCCCTCCGTCAGAGGAGTTTGAGGCAAGGGCCGGCCCAGCTCAGTCTCTGGGTCCCGGCTTGGGTTGCAACAGAGTGCAAGCAGGGTTTGGGCAGCCGGTGTGCACAGGCAGCAGGAGTTGGAGCCCCCCTCCCGCCCTGCTCCGCATTTGAACCGCCAGGTCGGGTGCGAGGCAACTTAGACAATAAAGCTGAGATTTTCAAAGCTGCCTAGGGAATTTCAGCCTCTGGTTCCCATTCATTTTAATAGGAACTGGGCATCCGTGTTCCCTGGGCAGCTCTGAAAGCCTCAGCGGAAAGCTTTGAAAGGAGCTGAGACGCCATCCTCCTGCTCCCATCCCATCTGTAGCCCTGTTCCCTGTTCTCTCAGTGCCATACTTTCACCTCCCAGCATGCTGTCCCCAGCCCCTCTGGGCCTGTACCTGCACTGCCCCCATGTGCTCCCATCTCTCCTACTCCGCACTCCTTCCCACACCCTCCTATTTCCAGGCCATCCTGCCCTTGAGCGTGCAGGTGTTTTAACTCAGTTTCCCCCTCCCTGGCCACCTTGCACTCTGCTTTCGGGGGGGCGCCAGTGAAAGCCGCACTGGGCGATTCTCTGCTGCAGCTGACAGAGAGAGAGATTCTGTATCGCAAGCTGCCTCCAGAGTATTTCAGCTCCTGTCGCTTCTAGATAAGGCCCTTCAGCCAGGCCAGGCCAGACCCAGAGTTTGGTTCAACCTGAGTTTGGTCTTTACTGAGTTTGTACGTGACAGTCGCCACTTGGGCTTCCTGTGTTGTAGGGCTTTGCCCAGCCCCCACTGTAAGTTAGTGCAAGCTCCGGGCTGCCCTTACTTCTGCTGTGCTTCCCTGGGTCGCCCATGTGTAACCAAGAATGAGGCCGAGAGACCCTGGTAGCCAGGTTCATCTTCTCCCCTGCTGCATCCCTATGGTTTATATTAACCGGGGAAGCTCCCCTTTTCACCTTTTCAGCATGGCACTCTTGAGTGAGGGCCCATTTTTCAGTGGGTGAGGAGCTGAGAGGGCAAGTGCCTCTATAATAACTTTCTAGCACTTACTAACTAATCCCAATAATGTCTGTTTTAAAGAGGCGGGGAGGGAACTGAGGCACGGGGGGAGACTTGCCTAGGTTTAGCCAGCCAGGCATTGCCAGGGCTGGAGTTAGAACACAGCCACTCCTGCTCCCCAGTGCTAAGATCCATCTGCTAGAGGCCCAGAGGATCCTTATCAAAGCGGAGGTCTTGAATTTCCAGGCCTTTCCCTTCTGAAGCCTGTGCTGCAGGTTGGAGCGGGGCCTCGGACCACAGCTGTCTTTTTTTGTTCATCCTTCCAGCAAACACGCCCTGGGCAGCCACGAATACATCCAGCACTGCAGGAAGTTTGACATTGACATCCGGCTGCAGCTGATGAAGAGGAAGGCAGTGCGCAGCGACCTTGCCAGGACGGTGAGCAGCTGCTCTCGAGGGGGAACTGAGAATGCACTGAACTGATGCATGCTGTTGCCGCTACTTGGGGCATTGATCTCCACCGCTGCCAGGGCAGGGGTGGGGAGGGTCACCAGCTATCCCGGGGTTGCTGATTTGGGGGGACAAGGCCATGGTGCCCTGCAAATTGCTGCCTCACCAGCTCCCTTCCAGCGGGTTCGGTTCTGCGGCTGCTTGCCACCTCGACCCCTGCCCACCACCAGCTAAAAGTTCCCTACTCCCGGCCTTTCCCATTGCAACCAGGGCTTGCTTTGGGAGCGCTCATTTAGTCCAGCTTCTAAACTCCAGCAATTCATCCTTGAATCCTTCCCAAATGCAGAGAGATTTGCTAGGCACGGCTCTACAGAGGAAGCCATGGATGTTAGAGATGGAAAAGACCCATTCGATACATCTAGTCTATCCCCTGCCCAATATGAGATTGTTCCTTGCATCTGCCCATGCTAGTTCTAAATGTATCAAGCAACGGGGCTCTGGGGGTACTACTCCACAGCCCTGCAGATCTCAGTGTCAGGAAACGTTCCCCGATTATTGTCAGCGTAGGTTGTCCCTTATGTTAATTTAATCACAACACTCTCGGCTAGAACCCTCCTCAGTGATCCTGCCGAACCCAGGAGCCCCTACACGCTTCTCAGCAGACATGGAGCTAGCAGCTGAGACCTTCAAAGATACTTACTTTTCAGTGGGAAGTTGGTATCTCAAATGACATCAGTGACTTTGCAGATGTCAGCCAGAAAGTCATACTAGGTACAGCCAGCATCCCTGACCGGGAGGGGTTAACGCTAGCAGATCAGATGCACCTAAACAGGTCTCTTTCTCCTACAGGTGAACGATGACCAGAGCCCTTCCACGCTCAACCATTACATTCACCTGCAGGAGAGGCCAATCAAGCAGACCATCAGCAGGTAAAGAGGAGGGGACAGGTGGTGATGTGAGGTGTACAGCTCCCATTGGGGGTGCCGAGGGGTTTGGATGGGGGTGTGCTGAGCAGGAGGGTGGAGGAACATAAATGGGTCCAGGCAGCAAGGCACTTGCACTGCTTTCCTGGGGCTGCACTTGAACGCCGTTCGCGTGAGAGGGATGGGCTGTGCGGTGAGAATTGGTGCAGAGGTACCTCCATGGCTACCTCTCGTGCTCCCTCTCTCTAAGCTGAGTTCTCTCCTATCTCCTCCAATCCAGGCAAGCCCTGAGTCTCCTCTTCGACACCTTCCACAATGAGGTTGACACCTTCCTAGCAGCCGAGGTGAGTGTGGCTTGCCCGGGACAGGATGGGCCCTGTACTTGGACACACACCAGTACAGAGCGCAGCAATTTAACAGTTGGGGGTGAGGGGCATGTCTGGGCTTGTCTACACACAGAAGTTGCTCCAGTTTAACTTAAATCAGCTATAAAAACAATTTTAGCAGAGCCAGTGCAAACCCCAGTGTGGACACGCTTATTAGATTGCACCTGGTTTATAGCAGTTTAGTTGCACTTGTAAACCGGGCCTCGTCTACATGAGAAAGTTGCACCTACTTAATTTAAATGGGTTTTTAATCTGATTTCATTGAAGCCGCGCACACGGCTGTGTGGACACACATTTCCGCTTAAGGGGGTTTATTGTAGTTAAGCTAAACCAAAACAAACCACTCTTAAGCTAATCTAAGCTCAGGTCCATTTGGAAGACTTTGCTGGTATAGCTACATCAGTATACTATACCGGCAAAGCGCTCCTAGGCCATGTCTACACTCTAGGGACTGCGGTGCCATCGCTATGCCACCATTACCCCACTCTGTGACACGGCCTACAGGAGTTTTTCCGTCACTGTAGGAACTCCACCTCCCTGAACGATGGTAGCTAGGTTGACACAAGCGTTCTTCCGTCCACATAGCTGTGTCCACGTTAGGGGTTAGGTCACCATAGCTATATCAGGCACGGATGTGGATATTTCACATCCCCGACCCATGTAGTTATGTCAACCTACATTTTAAGTGTAGACCAGGCCCCAGTGTGGATAGAGCTTATACCCGCAAAATTGCACAGCTGCGTCAGTCACAGACCACATCTTCTCACACCCCGGACCAACATAGTGATGCCAGGAAAAGTTTGTAGAGTAGATCTGGTTTCAGAGTATCCACACACACAGTAGCCACAGCTTAACTAAATCAGTTTAAAACCACACCGTTAGTGGATCCAGTGCCATTTGTGTGTGAAGACCAGAGTTGCGAGTGTGATTGGACTCCACAATGCCAGTCTTAGTGCTTCTAACAATACTTTGCCACTCCATAGCAACTGTCATCTACAGATCTCTGAGCACCCTTCATATGTGGGTCAGTGTTCTCCCTATTGTACGGAGACGGGAAGGGACTGGCCCAATGGAGTGGGGCCAGAGCTCAGATCTCCTGACTTCCAGGCCTTTGCTCTCACCACTAGGGAACGCTGATTCCTGTAATGAAGGTCCCATGGGGCTTTCTGTTCTGGGGGTGGGGGGGTTAGTTACCTACTTGATTTTCAGTCCTGTCCTCTGGGACCCAGTGCATGTCTGCCCGTCACCCACATGCAGGTTTTTCCTGCTAAACCTCAGGGCCAATAAGCCTGTCTTGTTTTCACTAGACACGGCCGCGCCTGTAACAGGATTGCTGACCTGATCCTGAACCTGAACCTTCTCTGCCTTATTTCACATTATGTTGACTCTCTACTTCCTCATTCCAGTCAGGGATCCCTCATCAGAGCCAGTCCTCACCAGTTTTCCAGCCCAGCTTCGCAGATGCAAGAGGCTGAAATAAGTCTAGAAGAGGGTGCCCCACCTAGGGGTTAGAGCAGAGAACTGAGCGTCAGGACTCCTGGGTTCTTTTATGGTTTTGTCACTGACTCACCTCAGGCAAGTCGTTTCCCCTCTCTGTGCCTTGTTTCCCCATCTGTAAGATGAAGATAGAACTTACCCACCTGCTGGGATGGCAGTGAGGGTTAAGTCATTAATGATTGTAAAGTGCTTTGAGATCCCATGACGGAAGGAGCTATAGAATGTGTATAATTACTATGATCCAAAACAAAATCTGACCCTTTATCCTTGGTCATTAATTTTTACACAGTCTTTAATTGATAAGAAGACCAGGCACTTGCTCTATATGCCTCTTTCATGTGTGGATCTCAGAGTGCTTGGCAAAGGAGGGTAGAGGCCATTATCCCCATTTTTACAGATGGGGAAACCGAGGCACAGACCAGTGACGTGACCCGCTCAGAATCACACTGCATGGCCATGGGTGGAACCCAGGTCTCCTGGCTCCCAGCTTGGTGCACTAGACCAGAGATTCCCAAACTTTGTCATAGTATGGACAGCAGCAGCCCCTAGTGGCAACTCCAGCTCCATGGTTTGAGGTGTCCTGGCTGGAGCTACATATGAAGGAGTGGCACTGGCAGCATCATGCGTGTCCATAATGCTCAGCTTGGGAACCTCAGGGTTAGACCATGCCACCTCCATTTCAATAAGTGTAGGTATCCGCTCCCTACCCAGTCCAAAATCAGTCCTGAGTATCAAGTCTCAAGCCAAACAGATTAAAGAGTGCTGAGAATCCCACATCCCTGTGACACTGGGACCTGGGGAATGAGCCATAGCCTTACTTAGCTGATGAGGTATGGCCCCTGGGTCTCTCGCACGTGACCGGGTGGGGCAGAGCCGCAAGCTTCCCCTTTGTGCTCTCCCAGTGCCAAACCCACATGCCGAAGGGGCCAGGATCCTGCCTGCGCAGCAGCGGGCCTGCTCCCAGCCAGGTCTGCAGAGAATCAAGGACGTATGATGAACCATGAGGAGACAGATACTGGGCTGGGAACTTGCTCAGCAGTGGCTCTGTCTTTTCTCTTGGGCTGTCTTGTTGGAGGGGACACAAGAATGCAGGTGCAGATGGGCACCTACAAGGCATTATCCCCACCATCCCCTGTTGCATTCTGTTTGCATGTGACTTTCTTTAGGTGCCACAGAGTCTCCTCTTTCTTCCTGGCTCCATGTACCTCCCGAGGGCGGAGGGGGTACAAAAATGGAGGACAGGGCAAAGCTCAAGTGTCCAGCACAGTGCAGAGATCACAAAGGGTCTCATTGCCCCCCACTCCAACTCTATTTTTGGTAGCTGGGATGCAGACGCATGGACAGTGCATATGCCATGGGACCCTCCTCTCCACCTCTTCCGGGCAGGTCCAGACCAGGAACTCCTCGGCTTTCCATCCACCCCCTTCCTCCTGGGCTGCTGCTTTATCTCAAGCATAATCCTTCTGCACTCAGCCCCCTTGCCACCTCGGCACGGCTGCTTGCGCTCACCTGGCCCAAGAGAGAGAGAGGTCTCTCCCAGGATGCCTGAGCATGGGTAGAGCTGGGACTGGCTGGACTGCGAATGCTACCAGTGGAGTCAGATAGAATGTGCTGTGGTGGGACAGAGGTGGTTAAAACGCAGGCGTCCTTGGGCCAGCGTTCCAGTGGATCTCCTTATGGCCCCTGCTGTAAGTCCATAAGATGGCTATCATGTCAGCATACCCCAGCAGTGGTGGTAAGGTCAAGCCATCTGGCTGCGTGTCCGCACTGCGCAGTGGAGTCTGAGACCATGAGCCTCTCCCTGCTTTCCCTTCCAGGGAGACTTCCAGCTGAAAGCCGACCGGGTGATCCAGTCCGTCATGGCCATTTGCAATGCCCTGGCTGCTGTGGAGTCCCAGGAAATCACTGGAGCCCTGAACCAGCTGCCAGCCTGCCCTTCTCGCATGCAGCCCAAAATCCAGAAGGTAAGAGGCCAGGACCCAGAAGCTCCTCAGCAGGGGGGCTGAGCTTGGAGGAAAGGGGTGAAATTAAAGGGAAACTGAGGCTGAGCATTAACGGGGTGTGTATGAGCCGCGGTGGGGCTTCTGGCTGGGGAGATCTTTCTAGGCTGTGGAATAATCTCCCTGGGGAAGGGTGGGAGCATCATCTCTTGAGTCTGGCAAAGCCCAGCATAACAGACAGTACAGCGGGGAGCAGTCCGTCCGTGGGCTGGCTTCATAGGGCTTGATCCAAAGGCAGTGGCGGGAATCCTTCAGTGGACACTGGATCGGGCCCATAGATTTCAAAGCCAGCAAGGCTCTGATCGGCTACCATAAGCTAGTGATCAAGATCCCCCTGACCTCTTGTGTAGCCCAAGGCCAGAGAATGTCACCTGGTGGTTCCCTCCACTGCAGGCGACATTCTTCCCTGCTACAAAACTGAGCCTCGAAGCTCACCCCTGAACTGGACTGTATCTCCTAGGCAGAGATCCGGTCTCATTTCAAGAGCTGGTTAATCTCACAGTGAAGAGCCCATATGTGAGAACCCAGCTTCCCAGACTGGAGAGGGCGTCTAGGCACATTTAGGTAGGGTAGTGAGTGCAAATAAAGGGAATCTGGCCCCTTTTCATCTGTTTTTTATCCCCCCCTCACCAACATACCACATGTAAAATTCCTGAACAGCTGAAACTGTGCAACTGCCTTCACTGTATTTCCTTGTTTGCTGCTGCTTGAGTGGCGGGGAATGGAAAGGCTCTGGGAGGCTGTTACATAAAGTAGCTGGCTTGGACAATTGCTTACAGCTGCGTCTGAGGGCACTGGAATAACCTTAACATTGCTCTTCTGGTTTCTTTTTCCTTGACAGGATCCAAATGTTCTGGCCGTGAGGGAAAATCGGGGTAATTTCTCTTCTCCGCTCATTCTGTTGCAGAATTCTTGGTGCTCTTGATCTTCAGTCCCCTCCCCCCTATTTAGAGTGGGACAAACTTAAAAAAAAACTTTTTTGGGGTGGGGGGGGAGAATGGCCTTTTTGGGGAGAGGATTTATCATTTTTTCTTCATTTCCAACAAAAAACCTGAAATGTTCGGTTTTCAGGGGGGTTTTGCCCCCGACTTGTTCCCTCTGAAAAAGATCCACATGCAGAGTCACATCAGCTTGAAATAATTTAATCAGCCCCCAAAAACGTCCCACAATGTGCTTGAGCCCCTAGGCAGGTCACTATGCAGGGTGTGGGTAGGGCATGGCCATCTGTAGCAGGATAGAGGCAACCGGAACTTCCATCATGGGCTGGCAGTACCGGAGACCTCCCCACCAAGGCCCAGCGTGAGGGGAGGGGAGGGGAGATTGGAGGGCCAGAACATCCCTGTTTCATGCCTCATCTGCGCTCCCTTACAGAGAAGGTCGTGGAGACCTTGACAGCCGCCATCTTGGATCTGGTGGAGCTTTACTGCAACACCTTCAACGCAGACTTCCAGACGGCGGTGCATGGAAACAGGAAGCACCATCTGAGCCAGGAGGCCTGTCTCCTCACTTGTCCCCTCTCCTTCACTGTCTACGCCACGCACCGCATCCCTATCACCTGGGCAGCAAGGTACGAGGGCTTAGCCGCATGTCCCTGCTGGGCGGTGAAGGTTGATTGGGGGAGATCCCTACCCATGTGCCTGGCTCCTTGTCTGGAATTACATCTCAGGATACCCCTTCACTCCGTCTGGTCTGCGGCCCCCTAGCCAGTGTGGTCTCTCCCCAGAGGCCAGAAGCCTTGGGCCATGGCTGCAGCTGCACAGTTCAAAGGCATGTTAAGTGTCTGGAATCCCGCCCTCATTCTAAGGCTCTCTGCCCTGCCTTAGTCTGACAAAGAGCATCTGGGCTGATTGCCCCGGTCCACGTCGCCCTCTCGCATCCTCTAGGCTGGCATCCTACAGGCAGCATTGGGAAGAGCCTGCAGCAGGGCTGGGAGGGGACAAGGCATGAATTGGGGGGGCATCACAGTCTCTTAGCATCCTTTACAAGGACACTCGGTCCTCATGTTCCAGGGCGTCAGTAGCTGAGGTCAGGGAGATATCTCCCTTTGCAGTGGAGTATGGGACAACTAGGTACGCCAAAGGTTAGCACAACTTCCCCACTCTTAGGACCAGAAGCACTACTGATCTGCTCTGTTCCACACCCCACGCCCAGCTTAGGCATTACTGAGTCGTGGATACCTAGCTGCAGTGAACATATAATGTATGTCTACCCCCACCCCCATCCTCTCCATGCCATGTTACTCTCACCCCTGCGTGGTGAGATGTGTCCAGAGCTCCAGCTGGATTTCTGCAGGGAAGACAGGAGGACAATGCACATGTGGGTGTCTTGGGCCATGGCACTGCAATGGACGATCGAATTCAGAGCTAGTAAAGGCCTATATAGGCTCATAGTCCATCCCTCACTGCTCTGCCAGGGCTGCAGAGAGTGCCCTGATGGGGGGTATATCAGAGCCAGTGGGCTCCTGGGGATAGACAGGTCAGAGACAGAACTGGAGCTGGCTGAGGGGTTCATTCCTACTTGGAAAGGCTGCAGCAAAGGTTAGTTAGTTCACTGAATGGTTGTCTCATCCCTGCCATGATCTAGAAGCAAACAGAGACCTTCCTCGCCCTACCTGCATGCCCCGTAATGATAATACAGAATACGCCAGGAATATGGGCCTAGGCAGGGTCAAAGCTCGGGATGCCGGAGCCCCCGGAAATTCAGCCCGTTGGTGCTATGCTGGTGGGTGTTAGAGGAAGCCCTGGCAGGGAGAGAGGGGAGCTGAGCCTTCCGTCTTGCCGCAGGGAGAGGAGTCAGAGAGAGGGGCTTGTAAGAGGCTGCGGAGAGCTAGTGGCGCCAGTGAGGGGGCCTGGTGCAGTTGAGCTCTGCAGCGCTCTCCGTAGCCCCAGCCCCGTTTGCGCAGGCTGCGCTGGAATGCTCTGGGAGAGCTCATCGCAGCAGGCTCCCCACGGCTCATGCCTGCTGCAGCCCTAGAGACTGTGACAGATGGGCCCGTTCTCAGCGAGGGCTTGTGCCCTGGCGGCCAGTGGCTGTCTGGGCTTTTTATCCTGGGTGGATAAGGGGACAATGAGACGTGTGTGGTGAGGGGGGAGGGTTGTGTGCGTATGTCGGGGGGCTGGGGTGGGGTGGAGGGGATGCTCCTTTGTTAGCTGCCTGGGTTGAATGCCTATGTTTCACCCATCGCAGGGAGGATGCCCATTGGTAAACCACACTCCTGGCTACGGCTGGCCGCCTTACAGAGCTCTGCAGCTCCAGCAACACGAGCCCGCGAAGGGGGTAGGAGGCGGCAGCGGTAGTAGCAGCCGCCCCTCCAAGGACCCCTCGCCTTTGTCCCATCCTTAATGTATTCCAGTTGGTGATTGACTCCGAACAAAGGAAGTAGCCTGGGAAATCCAGGCATCCTCTGACCTTTGTTACCCCGCCACGCTCGGCACCTGTCACATGGCTGCATCCTTCTGGGAGACCCTCATGTGATGGCATTCTGTGGCATATGTCGATCTGGCTGTCTGGAAGGAGTTGGGCCTTCTCTCGGTAGCTTCCCCCCTCTTTCCCAAAGGGGTAACAGCCTGGGAGAAAGATCCCATGGCTGATCTGGAGAGGCAGTGGAGAAAGGGGGATAAAACCCCCCACCCTGAGCTGAAATGTTCTGGGGAGGGGAATGGGCTAAGAGGAGACAGGGGCTTTGCGCTCAGAGTCAGCTGCCCCCTCTGGAGAGAGTCGTGCGTCTGATCTCAGGGCAGATGAACCTGTTTGGGTGACAGTAAGATTGCCACAAACCTTGGCCTGAAATTCCAGCCTTGCTGGCCACCCAAACCTGAGAAACATTTGTTCAGTGTCCCCTCAAGCCCCCAGTGTCTTGCATTATCATGGAGGTGCCCGGGCCTCTGGATTCCAGCCGCAGACCACAGCAGAGGACCCCCGCCTCGGGCAGCATTGCTGACCCTTCTGGGTAAGCTCCAGAAATTTGGTGAGGAAAGCTGTCCTCCCCAGATCTCTGAGCCCAGTTTCATGGACCCACGGGCCAGATTCTGGGGCCACTGATTTCCGTGGAGCTTTGCACCAGCTGAAAATTTGGCCCCAGAGCTGGGCTAAGGATCCAAGGTCTGTTTCTCCCTTTGCCTCATAGCTGGTGGTGTCACTTACCCCTATGCCAAGCAAGCACCAAACCCTACAGCAATGTAAGTGAGTGGAGAAAGTCTGACCTGGTAGCATTTTACAGACCCGAGGTGCAAGGCAGTGGGAAATCGAGTCTGGGAGGGAGGGAGACTTATCCAGATCTCTGCATCTTCGTCTGAGCTCAGTCCAGGGCTTGTCCAATCCCGTTGGGGCCCCTAGAAGATGTCAGGTATATTTGAAAGGCTTCGGTTTACCTGTCACCTGCTAGATTTGGAATAAACCGAGCCATTTCCCCTGCACACTGCTCCTGCTTTGTGTGCCGCTATGAGATGGGAGGAGGGAAAGGGGCAGGGAGGAGAGAAGGAAGGAAGAGATGAGGAATTGGAGGAGAGGGAGACGGATATGGGAGTAGGCCAGTGTGCACAATGGAACTTTTAGTGTGCGGTAGCAGAGTCCACATGGCCTGTTAGTGCATGGCAGGCTAGTGCACTGTAGATTCACACCCAGCTTACAGTGCACCAGTCGTCCATATAGACACACCCACAGTGACTGGAGAAAGCGGAGATGAGGCCCCTTTGTTTCTTTGCTATACATTGCAGGCATGTCTTTACCTCTCCATTTTATTTTCTCCTGTTGCAGTTACGAAGACTTTTACCTCTCCTGCTCCCTCACCCATGGCGGCAAGGAGCTCTGCAGCCCCCTGCAGACCAGAAAGGCTCATGTGTACAAGTACCTCTTCCACCTCATCATCTGGGACCAGCAGTAAGGCAGCTCCCTGCTTAGCTCTGACCTGCATCCCTTGGCCTCGGGTGGGGAGAGGAGAAGAGGGACACCCAACAGGCCAGGTGTCCTGTTGAAGGGGGGCTGGATGCAGTCAGCCAAGGACTGAATGCAGATGTCTAAGCAACTATGGGAGAGGCAGAGCTGACCCGTGGAATGAGATGGGGAAGCTAGGGAGAACCAGCTGCACCCTTCTGTCCTACCTCCATTCTTGCTCGGTGCCCCACCAGATCTCGCAGGGGAACGAGAACTGGATTCACAGAGTTCCCTTGTACACCCCCTGCCAGGGAGCGATGGCATTTCAGGTGTCCTCACAGCAGGAAACATGAACAGCCCCGGGGCTTAAACTCCAGGTATCCCTCTGTTGGAGGGACGTGCTGCCAGTGTAATAGAGCACCAGGAGCTTTGTAATGAGTACCCCAGGAGAAAGCCATTGGGTGGGTCAAACCCAAGTCATATACCAACCACTTGTTCCCCCAGGAGCTCAGGGGCTTCTGAGGAAATGGGCCCTGGACCCAAACTGCACCCTGGTCAGGTCTGGCAAACCAGAAGCCCAGGGAAAGAGATTTTGTCCCATGGGCTTGTCTCTAGGGGGAAAGTTACCAGCAAAACAATATCAGTATAATTCTACTGCTATAGTTGTACTGTATAGTCCAGAATAAGTGTCCTCACCAGGAGCTACACTGGTATAGTCACAGCAGTATAATTATACCACCATACTTCCACCGGTACATTTCCCCCCATAGACAAGCACCATCTCTACAATACAGTCATCGCCCCTGGGGCTCTTCTGGAATCATTGCTGGCTGACAACAGTCAGCCCATTTCCTTGCTGTGGGGTTAATGCAGTTCTGGAACAACAGGGGCAAGTGCCAACCCCACCCTCAGCAGAGTGCACAGACCCCAGCTTGGGTGCAGCTTTGCCAAAGAGCTCAGGCTATCCTAGGGCTCAGCACCCAGCAGCTCCCATTGGGACCTTTGTGGCTAGATCATCTGGTAAGATTTTTGGAAAAATTTGGCCCTTGGTATCTACACCATCCCTCCACCCTCCCTGGGGTGTTTTCTACTGGTAACTCCAGCACAGCATGAGCTTCAGCTTCCTCCTAAAGCCCAGGGACTCCCCTACCAGGTCCTTATCTCCCTCTAGCTCCCAGAGACACGCCCGGCCCCAATTTATCACTTGGTTGGAGCTAATTGGCCCCACCTGCCAGCATGACTAAGCCTGACCCTAATGCAGTGCTGGGGTTTTGCACTGGCACCCAGTGTGATTCAGCAGAGGAGCCCTGCAGGGACTAAGGAGAGGTAGTATGTAGAGCTTTATGGTAAAGCCAGCGGGAGCATCTGAGGTCCTGGTGAAATAACTTCTGAGGGGTGTCGGATCCCCTGGTAGAACCAAGCGCTCCCTCTTTCATCTCTTGCTGGTGGGTCTTCTCCTTTAACCCTGTGTCCAGGGGCTGTTTGTTCTGGGGGCTCCAGTTGCTCCAGGGAAAGGGGATCTGATCTAAAAATAGCCCTAGCAGCTGAGAGGGCATGTGTACTAAGCCCGCAAAGGGGAGGGGAAAGGGATAATTTTAGGAGCCTATCCCCTGAGAAGGACCCAGGGAGAGAGACACAGCAGTGCCGGCATGGAGCGGGGTTGTGAGATGACTCCCTTTGTGTGGATCTTTGCCCCCTGAAAGTTGCATGTTCAGAGGGGTTAAAGCCCAGGTTTCATGGGCTGGGCTCTGAGCCACCTCCCTGGGTCCCCTTTGCTGGCTGCACGAGGGACCTCAGCCATGGGAGTCAACTGCTTCAGCCAGCATTGCCCTCTCGGTAGCTATGAAACTGCTTTGGTCTGGCACACCCCTGGGCTCTGCTAGTCCTGCAAGATTGGCTCCAGGACCTCTGGGGGCCACCTTCCTTTAAGGTGACTGCATGGAGGTTTGTGTGTGTGTGTGTGTCTGTGTCTCCTCTCCCCCCACCCTGATCCCCCTTGCTGGGATGTTTTGGAGCAGCACTGGCTCCAAAGGGAGGTGTGTCTAGTCCTGCAGGTGGTGGCCCCACCAGACCTTGGCGTGGGAACAGGAGGGGGGAGGTAAGAAGGGGAGGGGTTGGGGAGAGGTAAAATGAGATCCTCTGAACCCCAGTGTGAGGAAAGATCCCCAGAGCTGATGTCTCAGGACCAGGTGAAATCCACTAGCATGTAATCTGACTAGACAGGTGGGCTGGCAGAGCTTCCCTATAGAATACATCTGCCCCCTCCATTGACGCCTATGGGATATCCTATAGTGATCAACCCTTTCTGGTAGGGCCTGTGGGGCTTCCCCTATAGAAGATCAACCAAGCTCCTCTACTCTCTTCCCCACCCCCGTAGGATCTAAAGGATCTCCTATAGAGGGGGAACCCAGTCCCTTCTTCCCTCATGGCCACCCAGCTGCTTCCTCCATGGGATCCATGGCCATCTCCCTCCCAACACTCCCCCCTGCAGCTGGGAGCCTTGCAGGGGGCGGATTTAATGCTCCTAGACCCATCCCTTCTCCTAGGTAAAGGGTCGGCGTGGGTCTCTCCCCTGGCAGATGTACCGATCCTCCCTGGGATCTCCACGGTGCAGACAGGGAAACCGAGGCTCTAGCTTTCAAGGCAGCTCTCGGTGTTGCCCTTCCTCATGCAGTGCAACGCTGATCAGGCAGGAATGTGTCTGATCCCCAGAGTCCCAGTGAACGGTGGGAGAGCAGCCGCGCTCTCTCCAGACAGATCTGCCTTCTACCCTGCCTTGTCTCCATGTTACTGCAAAGCTCTTCGAGAACCCACTCCTTCCACCAACGGGTCCTGTTCCTGAGGACAACCTCCATTGGGCTAGCATAGGATCAGGAGTCGGGATCTCCTGTATGACCTGGGGCAGGTCTCGGCCCCACTCTGTGCCTCAGTTTCCCTGTCTGCACAGTGGAAATCCCAGGCGCGTTGGGAGGATCGGTACATCGGGCCATCATCAGCTGGTGTGAACTGGCACAGCCCCGTTAAAGTCAATGGCGCTGCAGTGACTTCAACCAGCTGGGGGTCTGACCTGTGCATAGGTGTGAGGTGCTCAGATATGACAGTAATGGGGGAAGGTGGGCAGCCTATAAGCACCTAGAAGTGGGCTGTAGCCCACGAAAGCTTTTGCTCAAATAAATTTGTTAGTCTCTAAGTACTGCCACAAGTACTCCTGTTCTTTTTGTAGATACACCTAGAAACCACTAGGTCGGAGCTGGGGTCTCTGGTTCTGAGTGGGGGCTGGAAATTCCCTCACCAGCCCCTGGGTTCAGTACCAAGAGGCGCTGATGCCCGAACTCCCCTGAATTTCCGTGACTGCTCTGCAGTCTCAGGGTTGGGCCCTAGAATCTGTAGCGGTTCACTGTCCTGTCCAGACTGGGGAAAGGCAGCTCCCTCTCCGGAGGGCCTGGTGTTGCTGAGGGTACGTCTGCACAGCAGCTGGGGGGTGCTTCCCAGCCTGGGTAGACGGATGCACTCGCTCTGCTCGAGCTTGTGCACTCAAGTACGTACCCAGGGAGCCGGGTGGGTTTGTACTCGGCTGGCTAACCTGAGCTGCTGCCCATGCCACCGTGGCCCCACTGGGGATTTTTAGCACGTTCGCTTGAGAGGAGCTAGGGCGTCTGCCTGCCTGCACCCTCCCAGCTGCTGCGTAGATGTACCCTACAGCACTTAGCGCCCCCAGGCTGGGCTGCACTTCCAGGGGCAGTATGCTGATAGAACGCACAATGAGCCCCTTGACTATGAGAAGAGGGATCCCCTGGCTGTGAAGCCGAGAGATCCCCTGGCTGTGAAGCCAAGGCTCTGACTTGCAGATCCCCGGGTGATTTCTTCTAGGATCTGCTTCCCGATCCAAGTGAACCGGCTACCGCGGGAGACGCTGCTGAGCGTCACGCTCTACGCTGTGCCCATCCCCCCTCCGGGGAGCTCCTCTGAGACCAACAAGCAGCGGCGGGTCCCCGAGGCCCTGGGCTGGGTCACCACCCCGCTCTTCAACTTCAGGCAGTATGTGCACCTTCCCTGTCCCCATCCCTTGGGCACAACGGACATGTTGGAGGGTGGTTACTGTATGCACTGACTCAGCTGGGATACCAAACCCAGGGGCTCTCCTGGTGCCAGTGCCCCGCCCGCCCGGCACTAAGGTCACTGAGTTGGTCCTTGTGTCGGGCTTGTTGCTGAGCATGGCATCAGCTGTCAAACCCAACCCACTATGGGCTGCTCCCATCCTGGAGAGGCTCTGCAATGAAGCCACCTGTACTCAGGAAACCACCGTCCCCTGGGTCCTCTCCTTGTTCTCAGCCTCAGCAAAGCAGGTCCTAATGCCCCAGGCTCTAGATTCATAGATGCATAGGTTAGAAGGGACCATTGTGATCATCTAGTCTGACCTCCTGTGTAACCCAGGCCAGAGACCTGCCCCACAATAATTCCTAGAGGAAGTCATTCAGAAGAACAGCCAATGTCGATTTTAAAATTGCCGGTGATGGAGAATCCACCCCAACCCTTGGTAAATTGTTTAAAATGTACACCTTATTTCCCATCTGCATTGTCTAGCTTCAACTTCCAGCCATGGGATCGTGCTCTACTTTTCTCTGCTAGGGAAGGGCATAACACCCTATCTCCTTCCTTTCTCCAGGGTCTTGACCTGTGGGCGGAAGCTCCTGGGCTTGTGGCCAGCAACTCAGGACAACTCCAGTGCCAGGTCGAGTGCCCCCAACTTCAACCAGCCCGACAGTGTTATCCTGCAGGTGAATGCCTGACTCTCTGGGCCAGAAATCTTCCAAATGGGACTCTGGGGTTTGGATCCCTCCGTTTTGGGGGACTCAGCGGGAACCGCCCTGGGCCTGGTTCTCGGAGGCATTGAAATCAGGTAGAGCTGGGAGGGCTCAGCACTCTCCTCTGCAAACCAGGGGACATCTCCTGTCGCTGGCCACGCTTGAAAACTCCTGTCCCGACATGCGCTGGGCTTGGTGTGAAACCTGGGGTGGATGCTGTGTAGGCCAGTCTCTTCTTTGCTCAACCCAAAGACCTGGTCAGGGACATGGAGGTGGTGTCCCAATCACAGGGTGGGCTGGGAAGTGGATGCTTTACTGTGGGCTTTTCCCAAGTCAATAATCAGATACAAAACAGAACGGTGTCACCTGTGATAGGAGCCGCCAACCTACTAGCTGATCATCCATTAAAAAAAAAAACAAGACTCTTGGCAGGTCCATAGATGTTCTGTATTTTCCCCTGGGCTGTTCCCTTTCCTCTGCCCCCCTCCAGCTCGCGTCTGCATTCCCTCGACTGTGCCTCTCTATTTCCCTTTCTCTCTTTCCCGCGAGTGCTGGCAAGGATTCGGCTGAGTGCTCAGCGGCAAAAACCAGCCCTGCACACAAGGAGCCGGCAGTGGAGCGGAGCACAGTGGGAAAGAGGCAGCTTTGGAAGACAAATATTCCAGCTGGGATGGATTGAGAATCTGTGGGTTGCTGGGGCTGGCCTTAAAGGGGGAGGATTGCAGTGCCAATAGCACTCAGCCCTGCCTTCTCTCTGCTCTGTCTGTCCTTACCACTCAGTCTTTCCTCTCTCTCTTACTCCAGCTCCGCTGCTACCATTTCCGTGCACTGATCCCTTTGATGCATGTCCAAGCGACTGGGGCTTCCCCAAAGTCACTGACAAATCCATCACAGTTTCAACTGAAAATCAGCCTGGGTGGGTGGGTAGAGGGTCCAGCGTGACCTGTCACTGGAGGTGTCTACCTTGGCTGTAGCACATTCCTGCTCTGCCCCGTCGGCTCCTCTTGCAGGCAGGAGGAATGGCAGGGCGAGGCTGCGGCTTTCCAGGGCTGGGGAAGCTTGATCTCCTCCTCTTCCTCCCCGAGGAAGGATCAGAATGGAAACTTGCCCAGTTTGTCCCAGCTTGGTCTTGGTGTGAACCAGTATTCAGTGCTAGAGGGGAGTGAAAGTGGGACTCTCCCTCCAAACTCTCCCAGGCCAGGAAAGAGAGGTTCCCCCAGCAGGAGCCTCCCCTTACCCTGACCGAGCCCAGCAGGTAATGGCAGTGTTACCTGTTGTTTTCAGAACTCCCAACAGGGGCAACTTAACTATTTCACTCCAGGCGGTGTAAGGAATAAATCAACAGGAACACAGCACTTCCCTTTGATAAGTTTCATGCAAGTCAGCGTGCTCTCTCTAAAACTGCAGTTTATTAGATTTAAGCACACACAAACATGAGCAATAGGCTTAGAACATCCCAGATATTTACCTAACATCTGGAACGGTCTTGAGTAATTAACAGCAGGTTCGCAGTGGCCAGTTGCTCACCCACTGGGGATAAAGGATGTCAGGGAAAATGTCTCTCAAGATGGCTTGAGAGGACTGCTCCCAAATACACTCTGTTAGCAAATCTTGTATAACTAACTTCTACAAAACACATAGGTCATAATGACTCCTACTGTGTCATCACTTTTCTAACTTTCAATAAACTTTTCATATCAGAGGCATCTAGAATCAAGGTTTTCTAACCACCAAGGTTTTTAGTACTTCTCTGTCCTCTCCTCCCATTCTGATTAGCAGAAACTGCCAGCTAGATATGACCTTGCTTCTGAAAGCTTGTCTCCAAATTAACCCTTAACTATGTGGTGTTCTGTTTCATTGCTTCAGGGTGGCTGAATGCACATAATATGGTTGCAATTAACTGGATCATATTCTGGGGTATATGCACCCCTCAAATCCAGGGCATGGTCTTAGCATAGCAGAGGGGTGAGAGGACTGGCCCTTCATCTCATTGCACCAGCCGGTCACTAGCCATGCAGCCGGGACTCTGTATCTGGTCACGCCAATCAGAGGGGGCAGCCTGCTCTGCGTCCTTGGGTGCCCCGCACCCGCCTGTGGCATCCAGAACATGCAGGCGGCTGAGGGGGAGAGGAAGCAGTGGCTCTGTTGGCTCCATAGTAGGAAATACTGGGAGGGGCAGGGGCTGAGTCAGCTGGGCTCCAGACTGGGACACTGCGCAGAGCGGGGCGAGCTGAGTCTCTTTTCTCACAAGTCCCTATTCCTAATGGCCCTTAGTGCACCTGGCTTGGAAGTTTCCCAGCACTTCCCAGTTCATGGCTCACGGGATCGGTAGGGCCTGGCCCTGAGGCGGACACCAGGGCAATCCCGCCCCTGTCGGCTTCACGTTCCCCTCTGGGAGGGCCCCGTGTGTGTCGAGTTTCACAGCCTTAGTAATGAGCGTTGCAATGGCCAGTTGCGTGAACACACAGCAATGGCACAGCACGTGGGGCTGCAGGAAGCCTGGGCACCCCACCTGCCTCAGGGCAGAAGCACAGAGCGAGGGGGTGTCGGCATTCCCAGAATCCCACCTGCCTCGGGGGAGCAGTAACATGGGTTGGGGGATGCAGGTATCCTGAAAACACCATGTGCCTTGGGATCAGTAATCTGAGGCAAGAGCATCCTGAGTGCCCCACGTGCCCTTGAGGAGGGCAGTAGCATGTTAACAGAGCCTGCTGGGTGACCTCTGACCCGCTCTTCCTCCCGCCCTGCAGATTGATTTCCCAGCCTCTGCCTTCAACGTGACGTTCACGAGCCCCCCGGCTGCCGAGTTCAGCCCCAAGTACGAGTTCCACAGCTTGGGCGAGGAGGACCAGCGCAAGCTGAAGGAGGTGATGCAGAAGGAATCACTGTACTGGTGAGAGGCCATGCCCGCGTGGGGGGACGCACACACCACAGGGACGACACGCGGGGAGGCGAGACCTCGGCCGAGATGCTGTCTCCAGCTCTCCTGCCCTGGACTGTAGCTCGCCAATGGGCACTGCACAAAGAAGCAGTCACACGTGGATAGCCATGACTGGGGGGCTGGCTGGCGTGGGTGGATCTCCATTGGGTTTTGTCCTCCGAAGTCTGTCTGTGGGAGGAGGGGTCTCTTGGGCCCTGATCCAAAGTTGAAGGCAACAGAAAAACTCCCTCTGCTTTAATCGCCTTTGGATCAGGGTCTGTGGCCAGGCAGGTTTGTGTCTCTCAGGCCAGCCCGATCTCACACTCTTCCCCCCCCCCATCCCCACCCTGCACACATGTGCTGTCTGTCCGCAGCAGGACCAGAGCGGAGTCATGCAAGGGCCTGACTCTCATCTCTGGCAGGTTGGGGCCCCAATAATGTCAATGCTGGCCCTGAGAACCACACAAGGAGCTGGGAAGCTCCCTAGGGAGTGGCGAGGGCTGAGGGTCAGGGATCAGGTTTGATGCTTCTGCCCCCCATGCTCCCTGTCTGAAGGCAGCTGTTTTCAGGCTGTTCATCTGTCCTTCCCCTGAGCTCCCCGGCCTCGCGCTCTGGCAGATGGCTGAGAGGGAAGAAACTGCCTTCTCCAGATGTGTGTACAAGGAAGGTGTCTCCAGCCATCTCTCCTCCTCACCCCCGCTTCCCCCCCTGCCCAGGGCAGCTGGCTAGCCCAGCCTACGCCTCGGCATCACAGACATGTCTATAAACAGGAAGGATCAGGTGTCGCTGGCCACATGCAGGGCAGCTCACTGCAGGCTGCGCTCACTCCTAGGGCATGATGCCGACCAGCGGGGCAGGGAGGGGGGCAGTATCTGTCCCTCTTCTCTAATAGACAGTGGGAAACGGAAAGGTCCCAGGGGACCTGGTAGGGCCCAGTCTCTTGGAGCCGGCTGGGAAGAACCAGCAAGCGACATTCCCCGTCTCACTCATTCATCCCCACACATGGCTCCACAGGGCATCCGTCCCTCCTGCCAGGCTGCCCTGCATGTGCCTGCTGAAGCGGGGAGGTCCACTCGCAATGTAAGGTTCATTACAGCCCCTGTCTCATATGGCACCTGGCCCACCTCCCCCTCCTTCTCCTCCAGTTCTCCATTTCTAAGCATCACAGAGCCCTGGCACCCCCTTCCCCCCCCCCCACACCATCTCATCTCTCCTGCCCCCCCCCAACCCCTGTGGTTTTGGGGAGCTGACTCTTCCCCAAGCTCAGGGGCCATTCTCCCCCCCCCCCCCCCCCCCCCCCCAGTCTCATGTAGGCATGTATCCCTGGCTCCTGCCCCTGCCTTTGTGTGCCCTCTATAATAGCCCCACCCCCTAAGGCCAAATCCGGAACACAGGCACATCCCGGTCACCAGGTGTGATATCTGCCCTACAGCCACACACTCTGCTGCTGGGGCAGAGAGTGCCCCCTGCTGGCGCCTACAACAAACTCTCTGCCAGCTGCTCCCTTGCTGGACACAGCATCTGCTTCAGCATTCTTCTTCTTCTTAGGAATGATCCTTATTACTATCCCTGTATCCGGTGTGGCAAAAGTGCCGGGTGCTCTGCCAACAGAGAGACGCTCACAGAGCTTCTGGTCTAAGCAAGGCCCGTGAGAGGTGGGCGCGGGAGGCAAGCGAGAGACTAGTGAGCTAGGAGCAGTTGGGGCAGGGTGGGGTTTGGAGACATTAGAGGGGAAGAGGCAGCAGAACTTGATATTGGTGCTGGGAGGAGGAGACTGAGACAATTGTCTTGGGAGAGAGAAGTAGGAGGCTGGGGAGTTAAGTTCTACCTGCACCCCGTTCCCCAGCTGTGGGGTGGATTGGGCCTTGGTGTAGGGATGAGCCTCCCAGAGCCACTGGGTCCAGAAGAGCAATAAAAAGCCAGAAGTGGGCAAGCTCAATCCTCCATCTTCGTCACTCCCAGCTGGGGCTGCGGATCTGGGTCCCAAACCCAGAGGCAGCACTTCCCACCCCATCCCCTGCAAAAGACCCCCGGAGTCCTGACTCCAGGTGGCACCGGGAGCTGTCCCTCTGGCAGAGGAGAGAGAGAGAGAGAGAGAGGCTCAGCAGAGAACAGGTGGAAGGCTGGAGGGGAGGCGTTTGAGCCCACTCCCGCTGGCCGGAATGCTGCCAGCCAGGTATGTTCCAGTCTCGGTCGAGTGGGAATAAGGGGCCTTGCTGTCCCTGTTCCTTTGCCAGCTGATCCAGGCCACGTGGTCGCCCCGCACACGCTGCAGCTGTTGGCTTGAAACGTGACACTTCCTAGAGGAACAGGGCGCAGTGCTGGGAACTGGCAGGAGGCACCCAGCCCTTCCTGGCATTGTGCTCTGGGAGGGCAGTGCCTGGCCCGCCTGCTCCGGAGCACGTCAGGTTCATTGCCAGGGTGGGTCGTTCCCACCTTCTCCTACGCAGGCAGCGCTTTCGCTTTCCTTTGCCTTTGTTTGTTTTGGGCAAGCTCTGTAGTAATCGTGAAAGGGAGTGTCTGGGAATGGACCTAGGCCTGGGAGCTGGGTGGGTCGGCTTCCCACACACCCAGCTCTGCTGATGCCCCTCAGTACCAATCTTCACCCTGCTATTCCAGCCCTGAGCTCCCCCCTACAAGCTCTGCCAATGCACCTCAGTGCCAACCCCAGCCTCCACTATTGCAGCTCTTAGATCTCCAGAGCTGCCAATTACATTGAACTGTGCACTGGTCTGTGATGTGGAGAAATGTCCACTAGGCACTAAGGTTATGTCTACAAGCTAGCTTGGGTAACAGAGCACTGAAGCCACAGCAGCATGGTCTGTACAATCCTGCCTGCAACCGTGGAAAATGACTCAGGTGGCTAGCCCATGCCAAAGCCCACGCTGCTGCAGGTTCACTGCTCCGGGACCCAGACTAGATCAAATCTAGCTCGGGTAAATCTACGAGAACTGCAAGCGCACCCCATGATTGTAGCGTAGACACACCTTAAATTGAGACCTGCCAAACTCATTTCACTGGGGCCACAATGCACTAGTGTCATTTGCCTCTGTAAGATCCAGGCCCAGGAGCGAGGGATTGTCACTCCCTGCAGTCATTGGAATGGAAAACCGTGTGCAGCCCAGGGGCGCCAGGTTGCTACAGTGCTGATCAGGATTTTCAGGGGGAGAGAACGGAGCGGGGTTTGAAATTCTCCTTGCCTCACCTTCTTCAATTTCAGTGCAAGCTGAAAATCAGCTGAGATATGTCCGGAGGAATGTCACTTGCCTCTGCCCGGCCAGCTGACCCCCTGAATCTATCAGGCTTGAGGTGGAAGGGTTTATGCTGCTTGATCAGGACTTGATCCAGCTGCCTTCCTCAGAAAACGGGATTGATTCATAAGCCACTACATCACATTGGTCCCAGGATAGTAGAGAGACGAGATGGGTGAGGTAATATCTTTTATAGGACCAGTTTCCGTTGGTGAAAGCGACAAGCTTCAGGTCTTCTCTTAGGCAGCCCTACCCAGTCCTAGTAACAGGAGCCAAAGTGGGTGTCCCAGGGTTGACTTTCCTGCTCTCTTGTGGCCACTCAGAGCAATGGCCCTTTTATTTCTTGTCCAGCTCCTGAGATTCCTAGAGCCAGACCCTGCTCCCAGTAACACCAGTGTCAAGCCCTGTCTTCAGGGCTCTTTGACCCTGGGCAAGTCACTCCCCCACTCCGGGCCTCAGGGCCCCTGTACGTACAGCAGGGATGGAAACGCACTGCCCTCCCAGGGGACTGAGGTCTGTGTCTTGTGCCCTTTGCTGCCCTAGGCTGACGGACGCCGACCGGAAGAGACTGTGGGAGAAGCGCTATTACTGCCATGAGCAGCCTGGATCGCTGCCTCTGCTGCTCACCAGTGCCCCCAGCTGGGAGTGGGCCTGCCTGCCTGATATCTACGCCCTGCTGAAGCAATGGACTTACATGAACCACCAGGATGCCCTCGGGCTCTTGCATGCAACGTAAGCCACTGCCTGGGGAGTCCATCCTAGGGGGTGGACGTGCGGTGGGCAGAGACCGCTCCTTTTCCTCGCCCCAGCCACTCACTGGGGGCTGTGGCTTCTGCCTCTCAGCCAGTCGCCGCATTAAGATGCATCCAAATCCTATGAACATCTGAACGCCAAACAATCCTAAAACTGTGCTATGTCAGCATGGAGGGGAGGGGGAGAAACGGGGCTTGTGGGGACGGGGCACAGGCTGGGCATATGTGGGACGTGGGTTTAGAATCTTCACTCACAGGTTGGGCATGGGGGAGGTGGACATAGACTGGCTATCGCCTACTAGTATTCCCTTTAATATTGCAGCCATGACCCACTGCCTGGTAGTGAGCACAGTAGGGGAGCTGGGGGAACTGATCCAACAGGAATCCTCCCAGAAAATAAAAAGGGTGGATAAGGGGACCAGGAGACTTTCTGGACACAGGACAGACATCTCCGTTCCCATGTTTTGTGGCATTCCCAGGGGGGTGATGTGGTTTGCCTCGGAGGCTGCAGCTGTGCTTTCCCCAGTACCTCCACAATGCGCCCATGAGAGGCTGTGATGGCACCAGCAGACCCTCTGCAGGGACCCCGGTGGTCTCGTCTGCAGGCAGGTGGGCTGGGTTCCTCTGGAGAGAGCCTGCTGTGACCTCCTCCCAGTGATGCGTGGCTTGTGGCTGTAGGTTCCCGGATCAGGAGGTGAGGAGGACAGCCGTACACTGGATCGACTCCATGTCGGACGCAGAGCTGCTGGATTACCTGCCGCAGCTGGTGCAGGTGAGTCACTGAGTCTTTCAGACCAACGTGCACAGCATGGCCTATGGTTAGAGCCAGGCCCGTCCGTCTGTCCTGCCTGCTGATGGAGAAATGTCCTTGCTTCTCTCCTCCCAGGCCCTGAAGTATGAGTGCTATCTGGACAGCCCCCTGGTGCGGTTCCTTATGAAGCGAGCCATCTGTGACCTGAGAATCACCCACTACTTCTTCTGGTAATGTTGGTGTGGGTGCTGCAGCCTTTGGGAGGGGTCTGTGCTCAGCTGGGGCCTGCCCAAGTGATGGGGGGTGCCTGGGGAGTGGGTATCCCACCATTTAACATCACCAGCCATGACTTGTCCCCCTCTTAACCTGTGAGGTACAAACCCTAGCTCCCCACCCTGGAGTTCCTGCACTGGGGACAGTAGGAATGAGAGGGGTTGGAGCCCCTTGTCCTGACCTCTCCATGCTGCCCTCCTCCCCCAGGCTGCTGAAGGATGGACTCAAGGACTCCCAGTTCAGCATCCGCTACCAGTACCTGCTGGCGGCCCTGCTCTGCTGCTGTGGCAAAGGCCTGCGAGAGGAGTTCGACCGGCAGTGCTGCCTGGTCAACACCCTGGCCAAGCTGGCCCAGCAGGTTCGGGAGGCCGCTCCGTCCTCACGACAGGTTGGTGCTTAGCCTGTACCTCTGGGAGGGGCATGAGGGGCAGGGGAGTCAGACTGAAACTACAAAGCTCAAGGGGCTGCTCGCTTTGGTTACGGACAGCACTCCTCTGTCTGCAGGGAGCAGGCCAAGAGCACTGGCTGTCAGGGGACCTCCCAGCTGCTCCAGTTACCACCTCGCCCAGTCGGAGGCGGTGTTGGGAGCCACGAAGGAGTGCTGGCTGCACTTCGCGAGTTGCTGAAGGGCCGTGGGATAGGAGCGTTGTTCCCCCTTCTCCTCCAACTCCCATCCCCCGTTGAGGGGCCTTCCACACCCCACACATGTGCCGAGGCTCCCCCAACCTCCTCGCCCATAATTCCTTGAGGTCACAGGCACTTCCCTCCGGCTGAGGGTGACCGGGCAGGCCTGCCTAGTGCTGTTCCTTCAGGGGTCACTGAGCAAGGCAGGGTTCCCAGGCATGCACTGCAGTTGGAGAGCGAGACGCTGCCGTTGGGAAGGGATTGCAGAGCTGCAGCTCCCCCTCAGCCAGTCGATCCCTCCGGGGGCGTTGGTGCTGGAGTGGGTTGCTGGCAGGGCTGTGGGTGGGGATGTGCATGCGAGGCTGACCCACGTCTCCGGCAGGCCATTCTCCGAGACGGGCTGGTCAATGTGAAACAGTTCTTCAGCGCCAACGGCTCCTGCCGCCTGCCGCTTAGCCCCAGCCTGCTGGTGAAGGGGATCGTGCCCAGGGTGAGTGACTGAGCCGGGGCGAGAAGGGAATCGGGACCCGGGCTACTGGTCCACCTGCTGTAGTAGGGCTAATTCCCCCAGGGGCACAGAATGCCAAGACGATGGATTCTAATGAGGAGACCTTTTGCATCGTCCATCCATCAGATTCCCCCTAATCTACCTGTCCCGCAAAGAGCACCCGTACTCAGCCTGCGTACCTTGGACCCATGTGCTCCTGGCCCCCAGCCCTGTGTCTCCTCTCCACCTGCCCCAACACTCCAGATTGGCTCCTGATCTGCACCCCATCCCCATGCACCCACCCGCACCCGCCTTGATGCGATGCGTCCAGCTCTCTGCCTCCCCCGAGCTGCAGTGCCTGTCTAGCTGAACCTCGGTGTGGGTTTGGGGACGTGAGTCAAATGCCTCCAAGGGCCTTGCGTGAGCTAGGCAGAGAGAAGTGGGGTGACTGGCTAGTGCACAAATCCCCTGGCCCGAGTGTTGGGCCTGGTGGCTCTATGCATCCCAAATAGCCAGGGCCCAGAGCTGGTGATCCCTGCAGGGGGCAGGTTGATTGCTGCTGCTGTCCTACTGACAGGGAATTGACCAGAGTGGGCCTGTGTCCCCTGGCAGACTGAGATCATAACCCTAGGATGCTCAGGCCTGCAGCAGTGTTCATATCCCCGGGTAGCTCTGGTTCTTCCTGACAGTCTCCTCCTTCCCTCCCTGGCGGCAGGACTGCTCCTATTTCAACTCCAACGCCGTGCCCCTGAAGCTCTCCTTCCAGAACGTGGATGCCCTCGGGGAGAACATCCGCGTTATCTTTAAGGTGAGCCCTGCTGCTGCTGCTTATCTGGTTGGCTCTGTGCCTGCGCCTCTGGCACAGGCGGTTCTGATCAAACAGCCATTGCTGAGGCTTCTGGTTCAAAGTGGGGAGGAGCTCATTGCAGAGTATTAGCCAGTAGGACACAGGAGCAGCCAGAGAGGGGGAAGTCTCTGCAGCAGCTGAGAGACCAGGTGCTTGTCAAACAAAATGTGAGCAAAGGTCTCTGAACTGTGATGGGAACCAGCTCCACTGCAAGCCATGGCTGCGTGACAAACCCTAGTTCCCCTAGAAATGCTCTCACTAAATAGCAAGATGGGGGGCGGGAGGCCCTCTGGATGCCATCAACAGAAGGCACTTGAGTCCAGTTCTTCACCCACAAAATCCCTGCCACAGAAGCCGAAGGTTTAAAAAGCCAATTGGATCATGTAGCTCATGGGCAGTGTCGTTCCCTACAATCTATTCCCCCCGGGCTGGTGCTCAGTCCCGCTTTCTGTGTGAGGAGGCTTCCACCCCTTCCCTATTCCACAGTCTAGACCTGACTGTTGGCACCTCTCCCATGATGTTCCCACTCACTCGGCTCCCCCAGAATCGCATCTGTCCCCCCAAAAGGTGATCCCCCTTTAGCCCCAGACACATTATGGAAGAGACCCGTCCTGCATTCATGAATTGTGGGGTTTGTGAAGGCTGTGCTGGGCAGGGGCAGAGCTGGCAGTGCCCTCTTTAAATCTGAGAAAAGCCTCTGTGGTGAGGGTGTGCGAGATCATCCCTGGGAGAGGGAACCCCTGAGAGGGAACCGTGAACTGTTGGCTTCGTGGAAACGCCCCAGTTGTGACCATGCGCCTTCCCTCCTGTGACTGCCAGTGTGGAGACGACCTCCGGCAGGACATGCTGACGCTGCAGATGATCCGGATTATGAATAAGATCTGGGTGCAGGAGGGGCTGGACATGCGCATGGTGATCTTTCGCTGCTTCTCCACTGGCCGGGGCCGGGGTAAGTCGGAGGCCGGGTGTGACGGTCTCCCACTTTCCTCCAAGGAGTTCTCTTCGGGTGTTGCTGCTCCTCTGGGGCTGCGATGCTCTCGGCATGGGGACACTGTAGGAAATCCAGTGGCTGCAGAGCCAGGGTGAACAGCGGATGAACCCAGCGACTGTCCCTTTGGGTATGTCTATGGTGCAGTGTGGATGCGGGCTCTGACGTGTTTAAGCCCAAACCTCCTTTTCTGGAGGAAGGTGAGGCAGGTGCTTCAAGCGGCGCTTTCTGGAGGTGGCATCCATTGGCTGCTGTAATGGCGTCCCTTGAAGACCGCTGTGCAGCTGTGGCCAGAGAACCACAGCACAGGCTAATATCAGTCAGCAGATGCAGGGGGTGAAGATGGTAGCTCTGCCCCCTGGACCTGTTACTGGGTGTGCCGCAAGGCAGGACGGCGGCACAGGTGGCTGCCCCTCAGTAGTCAGAGCTAACTGAATGGTATTTAACTCCACTAGAAACCCAGCTTCTGCAGAGTTCTGGGGCATCGGTGCCTGCACATCCGTCGCCTACTGAGCCGCTGTCAGAGCAGCCACCTGACATAGCCAAGGTCCTTGGCCTCCCGCAAGGCAGGGACTCAAGGCTTCACGACCCTGCACCTCCGAGCAGGCTCTAAACATCCCATCCCCCTTAGAGCGCCACAGGGATGGACTCTCACTGCCACTGTGCCACGGGAGCTGGTAGATATACCCTGGGCTTTCCGCAAGAATTGGATAATCCCAGACTTGAGCTCTTGCCCATGTACCAGTTTATGAGGGGGTAAATTTGGCATAAGGGCTCAGGACCCTCTGGCCTCCTGTATCTCTCCCCACCAGGTAAATCCATAGGGATGTACCTTGCCCAGGACTGTCCTGCCTTCCCAGAGTCTTTCCTATCCATGGGAGTTGCCTTACATCTCTGCCACCAGAGGGAGATGCTGTGGAAGACTCTTGCGGCCTGATTTTCAGAGGCGGATTTTGGGGCAGTGCAGCTGCAGACATTCAGCCCTTCTGAAAATCAGGCCCAAGGTGCCTCAAGTCAGGCTCTCAAATTGAGGCATGCAAATCGGTGACAGCTGGCCCCGAACGGTGACCTCTCAGGGGGCTGCTGAGACCTTGGGGACCCAGGCTGGGATCTCTCTGCGCCACCCGGGGCAGGGGGAGGGGTTTGAATGGACCGAGCGAGTGGCGATTCTGGGTGCTGACCCTGTACCTGCTGCCCCCTCTTCCAGGCATGGTGGAGATGATCCCCAACGCAGAGACTCTGCGCAAGATCCAGGTGGAGCATGGGGTGACGGGCTCCTTCAAGGATCGTCCCCTGGCAGACTGGCTGCAGAAGCACAACCCCACGGAGGATGAGTACGAGAAGGTAGTGAAGTGGGATGCAGCGGGGTGACTTTGGAATGGAAAGGGGCCATACAAATCCCTCTATAGGGCAGGGAGCAGGGGTCCGAGGGAGGCAAATAGCCTCTGTAGCTTGAGATGATGCACAAACGAATGCCCCAACCAATATGCTTAACTTCTTGTAAACCCTCCACATAAACAACGGCCAACAGATGCACCCTGAGCCTGGCTCGGCCACACGCTTAGCTTTGTTTAGGACCTTCAGTAAGTGAACTTGATCTTGACCTTTTGCATAAACCAAGCCAGCCAGGTGCACCTGGATTGTGCCTGCATTTAAGGACAAGCTGGACAACCACCTGTCAGGGATGGTCTAGATATACTTGGTTCTGACTCAGCGCAGGGGCCTGAACTAGATGGCTTTTTGAGGTCCCTTCCAGCCCTGTGATTCTGTACCCACAGATTTGTTTATATGTAGGACCTACAGCAAGAGTGCAAGGTTTTTGTTTTTGTTTTTGTTTTTTTTTATTTAATGCTTTGTTACTTAAAACAAGTTCCTGGTGAAGGCGGGTGAGGGAGCTGAGCAGCATTAAGTGCCCCCCTCCACCCCACGGACCAGGCTCGCTCCTGAGAGTGTGGGACTAAACATTCCCATGCTCTCTCCCCTTCCTCTCAATTCCTTTTTGAAGTCTCTCTTCCCCCCTCACCTGCTCTAACCCCTTCTCCCTCTCCCAGGCGGTGGAGAACTTCATCTACTCATGCGCCGGCTGCTGCGTGGCCACCTACGTGCTGGGGATCTGTGACCGGCACAACGACAACATCATGCTCAAAACCACCGGCCACATGTTCCACATCGACTTCGGCAGGTTCCTGGGCCATGCCCAGATGTTTGGCAACATCAAAAGGTGGGTGTCACCCACAGGAGCCTGGCAGAGGGGTGAGATCGCTCCCATTGTACTACATGCTGGAGCAGAGCTTAGTCCTGGCTCCCTTGACCAAACATCATCTCCCTGCAGCTGTTGTGCTGGGGACAGCCATGTTTCTGTGAGACTACAGGGCTACAGTTTGTATTGTGGGCACAGTGGTTTGGAAGGACTGCTGTGCGGCTGTCAGGGAGCCTGGCTGTTCCCAGCTGGATCAGGGTGTGTTGTGATGGATGCAGGACAGACTGGAGTGGCTGGTTGTCCCATTTCCCATGGTCGACCCCTCTGCTCCACTCCCTGTGCTGATTTGGGCACGTGTGTCTCTTTCTGTGGTGCAGGGACCGGGCCCCGTTCGTCTTCACCTCGGACATGGCCTATGTCATTAATGGTGGTGACAAGCCCTCCAGCCGCTTCCATGACTTTGTGGATCTCTGCTGCCAGGCGTACAACCTGATCCGCAAGCACACCCACCTCTTCCTCAACCTGCTGGGCCTGGTGAGAACACGGGGGGGCTGCCCTGATCCAGGCACCGGGGCGGCCTTGCTCTCGCTGGGTCTCCAAAGAGCGGGCCACCCTCCAGGCCCAGGCCTTGAGATGCCTCCCACCTCCAGTGGTGGGAAATTCCCTCCCCCTCGGAGTCTGCAGCTGCCTCTTGGCCTCTCTGGTTCTGCCCCCTACTCTGGGCTCTTGTGTCCCATCTGACAGCACTATGAAAGCAGTGTGCTCCACCCTTGGCGGGGAGACATGTGCTTAGTGTCACGCAAGCGCCCCTCTGGCTGTCTGAAGTGCAGCGCTGACTGCCTAATCATACGGAGCTCACCCGGCCGTCCTCACCCATGTGGGTGACTCGGATCCAGGCAGACACACCCAGCGCTGGGCTGGGCTCGCTAAGTACATCTCATGGGGCGTGGATGTGTGTTATGGGGAGAGGGCCCTCGTCCCTCTCCGCTGGAGGAGTCTTCAGTGGGGATGCTGGACAGGCCATCTAGACCCGCACCTGGGCCATGTTTACTGTAGAGGCCCCAGGACTGGCTAGTCCATCTCCCTCTCCCTGCTCCTTCCCCACCTCTGGGCTCCTGGCACTGACCTGGCTGCCCTGCTCCCCAGATGCTGTCCTGTGGTATCCCGGAGCTCTCCGACCTCGAGGACCTCAAGTACGTCTACGACGCCCTGCGGCCGCAGGACTCCGAAGCCGACGCCACCACCTATTTCACCAGGTAAAAGGATGCAGCTGGTGCTGGGCGACAGATGGGGAAGGGGGCGCCCCTCTGTCACCAGGGAGAGATGGAAGGGCCTTCAGTGGCTGTACACCCCACTCCTAGGAAAGGAGCCAGGCTCTGTGTCCCAGCAGCCCTGGTTGAGGGGCCCTTGTGCACTCAGGAGAGTTTAGGGGCCAGGAGTGCCATGAATGGCAGCTGCCTTTGGAGTCCCCCTCTCTCACTGAGACGCTGCCCTCCCTCATTGCAGGTTGATCGAGTCCAGCCTGGGCAGCGTGGCCACCAAGCTCAACTTCTTCATCCACAACCTGGCGCAGATGAAGTTCACAGGCTCGGACACCCGCCCCGTACTTTCCTTCGCCCCCCGCGTGCACACGCTCAAGACATCCGGCCGGATCCGCGACGTCTTCCTTTGCCGCCACGAGAAAGTCTTCAACCCCAGCAAAGGCTATGTGAGCGCTGCAGCTCTGCTTCTGCTGGGCATGTGCCGGGGGGAGATGAGAGATCTGGGAGAGGGATTCTGTGCTGGGGGGTGGGTTTGGAGGAAGGCCCAGTCCACTGCCATTCAGTGGAGTCCCAGGGGCAGAGACACAAACCAAATGAAGGTTGCTGCAGCATTTTCCTGATTCTGGCCTCGCTAGGAATAGTTAGTGGGTTAGAGGGGGCAAACCCTGTTCTCTGGCGGAAGGGAAATGTGGGACCTGTCATTGGATGGCTACCCTCACACTGTATGATTTGATTAGAACCCAGTGCTTTCCACTTACCCTTCCATGACACCTTCAAAGGTGACTTGAATGTCTGCCTCCCTTCAGATGCATGTTCCTGAAAACTTTCCCCAGCCTTTAACTGGGTCTGAAGTGATGCCAAAAGAAACAATTTAACCTCGGTCTGATTTCCAAACTTCTTGCATTTCAGTGCGTGCATAGTGGGTCTGATTCTGAGCTAATCTGGACGTCAGGTGGGCTACTCCCGATCTGTACTGATGTAAGTTAGATCAGACTCAGGCATGCAAGCGATAACCGGCTCTGCCTCCCTGTCTTGCAGACGTACATCGTGAAGGTGCAGCGGGAGAGCCCCTGCGAGGTCACCTATGTCCAGCGTACCTTTGAGGAGTTCCAGGAGCTGCACAACAAGCTACGCCTCATCTTCCCCTCCTCCCACCTGCCCAGGTAGCCCTGCTCTCTTCCTCAGCACTGCTTCTTGTCCCATCCCTGGAGAAAAGGGGTTGGCTACTCTGCAGCTGGTTTGGGGCTTGTTTCATCTCTGGGCTGGGGCATGCTGGGAGGGAGGACGCGCCTCCCTGGCTTGCTTTACGTGCCTCCAGGCAGCACCCACGAGGACAAGTCTACCCCTATTGTTCCCCTCCCTCCCCCCCCATGCTGCTTCCTGACTTCCCCTCACCACTGTAACTTGACTCAGCCCACTACAGCTCTCCCTGGCTTCAGACAGCACCCACCCAGACTGAGCCCTTCTTGATTCTCTTGGTGCTGAGAGATCCTGTCAGGATCCAGCTATCCTTGGCTTTAGGGCCCTCCCATCCCTGCCCAACAGTTCTTGCTGGCAGCACCTGTCCAGAATGGCCTGGAAAGGCCTCTAGATTTTGTTGGTGAGAAACAATCGACTCAGCACCACTGTGGGGTGATGTGCCTCACACCAACACTTGCTGCCTCTGGCAAGAGCAGTTCACTTAGGGGCATTACTGCTTCAGCAGTGCATTCTGCTGCCCTGGATTGGAGACTTGCTAACTGTTCGCTCGCTCTCTCTCTCTCTCTCTCCTGCACACACACAACTGGTCAGTTTCCCCAGTAGGTTTGTGATCGGCCGGTCACGCGGCGAGGCAATGGCTGACAGGAGGAAAGAGGAGCTAAATGGCTACATCTGGCATCTGATCCACTCAGCCCCGGAGGTGGCTGAGGTAAGATTCTCAGCTCAGTGCCTCTCAGTCCACAGTGGAGAAGGTTGATCTAGCGTACACAGCTTAATGGATAAGTTCTAGGAGGGAGTGTTATCTAGTGAGTACAGCAAGTGACTAAGGGACAGGATTCCTGGGCCCTTTTCCAGACTGTGTTAGTGAGAAGTGGGCAAGTCACATCTCTCTGTGCCTCCGTTTCCCCATCTGTAAAATGGGAACAGGAACATTAGCTTTGATCCCAGGTGGGTTGTAAGTCTTAACTTAATTCCAGGTTGTAAAGTTCTTTGAAGATCAGACGCACCATCTAAGTGGTGAGATGTTCCTCTGGCTTGGGATTCTGGAGGATGGAAGGTGCTATATTAATAACTGATGGTGGAGTTACATATCTTGCTTTGAAGTGTGCAGGACGTGCTTACGGATGGAGAAAAGAGAGCCTGTTACCTCTGTGTGATACAAGCCAGACTTGTGCTATTCTTGCCTTGCAGTGTGATCTTGTGTATACATTCTTCCACCCCCTCCCGCGGGATGAGAAGGCTGCAGGCACCAATCCAGCTCCAAAGCCCGCAGGTATCACTATTCATTGTATATGGTCCATCTGGTCTGGTATGGAGGCTAATATCAGGCGTGTCAAAGGGAAGGTGTAACACACCCACACAATGTACCTGTATTGTGCTGTACTAAACCACAGCGGTAGATTCCTTCCTGACCCCTTGATGGAGCAGGAGAATGAGAGTCGAAGTAGTGGTTACCTAAGGGAAAAACAGCCACGCCAGGGGATTCCATTAAAGTTCTTTTATGCTTCTTCCTAAGAAGCTGGCACTTGGTTTAGAATTGCTGCGGCACAGCTGTGTCGCTGCTTGGTCTCTGGCCTATGCTGGTCTCTGTAGCTCACTCCCTGCACTGGTAGGCACTGCGCACTATCTCTGTCCTTTGCCTCTTTCCAGATGCCACGTGGTCTCGGCCCATCGGGAAGGTGGGAGGGGAGGTGAAGCTGTCCATCTCTTACAAGAACAACAAGCTCTTCATCATGGTGATGCACATCCGAGGCCTGGTAGGTGCCTTGTATCCCAGCAGCAGCTGTGGCTGCTGCGCAGGCTCTGTCTGTGTCCTGGTGCTGTGGAAATGACTGGGGTTTGTTTGGTGTCTCCCTCTTGTAGCAGCCTCTCCAGGACGGGAATGACCCCGACCCTTATGTCAAGATCTATCTCTTGCCTGACCCCCAGAAAACCACCAAGAGAAAAACCAAAGTGGCTCGGAAAACCTGCAACCCCACTTACAATGAAATGGTACCGTCTGATTCCCTTTGACGCTCATGTAGGGCTCATGGAAAGAGCATTCAGCTGTGATGGGGTTAGGTTAGATCTAGGGCCAGCTAAGTGAATCTTTATCGTCTTTCCAGGACGAGGGTGGAATCCAGTTGCCTGCCACTACTAGTGCACTGGCTGGATTGCTTGGGTCAGTAGGGATCAAAAATCGCTGCTGACCGAGGAACGTTCAGCAACTTGTCAAATGAGCTGGTGTCTCAGACCAGTTTCCCGGGAAAAGGGCCCATCTCCTATCTGGTCCTCTCAGCAGAGAGGCCAAGCACTGAATAGCTCATGGAGACTGAGTTACACTCTCCCTCCAGAGCATGGTTCAGGCACAGTAATGGGGCAGCAGTAGGGATTCCCCATTCTGTAACCGAGAACTTCCTTCTCCAGGCTGCCAAGGTACCACGTTCTGACGGGTATGGGCCTTCCCCATTCTCTGTCTTGCAGCTCGTCTATGACGGGATTCCCAAAGGAGACCTTCAGCAGCGGGAACTGCGCCTGAGCGTCCTGAGCGAGGAGAGCTTCTGGGAGAACATCCTTCTCGGGGAGGTCTGCATTAAGCTACGGGACCTGGACCTGACCCAAGAGAAGATGGGCTGGTTTGAGCTGGGCTCCAGGAGCCAAGGGACCATGTGAGGAGAGCTGCAGTGTCTTTGGAACCACGCCAGTCCTGCAGTGCTAGTGCTAGGCCGTGGGAATGGGTGCGAGTCCCAGGAGTTGTATCCTGGATCCAGATGGATTTTGTTTTCTGCAAGCGGGAGCTAGAGACACGTTCTCTCTGCAGATGAAGGTGTTCGTTTTTTGGGGTGGTTTTTTGTTCCATTTTCCCTGTAGAGACTGGGAACTCAACATCGCAATAGGAAATCCTATTGTGACTTGAAAAGTAGATTTTTTTTTTTTTTTAAGTTTACCTTGTGTCAAGGGAGCAACAATGAGGGAGGGGGGAATATTGGGGACACTTTTTTTTCTTTGAGATTTTTATTTTTAAAAAATAATGAAGAGTAATTTGTGTCCAGATGGGACATGAGGCTTTGATGAGAAGAGACCTGTGGGTGGGGAGGGAGGAGGGATACTTCATCAGTAAGGTTCTTATTGGACTGTCCCTAGGGAGTTTGTTTTAAAAGAATGTATATATCCATAGGAACTTCTGGGGGCAGGGGGAACCTAAAGGCCACAAGCAGCGGATAAGCCCTCCTTGTCTCTGGGTTAGGAGGTGGTGTGCTAGGATCCAAGCTGCCTCCTCTGTCCATCTCAGAGAATTTGCTTCCAAAGGAGAGCTGTATAATTTGTACATGTGTAGAGCCTTCTGTTCTGGATTCCTGCCAGAGGGCATGCAAGCCTGTGAACCCTGCTCCTGGGGAATGACTGTCAGGGTTGATTATCTCCCCTGCCCCTTGCGAAAACTGCAGCAGTATTCACTTCGATTCCAGCTGTGCTTCCCTCCCCACTCCCCAAGGCCCTTTACTCTGGCCTTGTGGTGATGCTGGGTATTCAGGAACACGACTTTTACCATACTTCACTGTCCACGTTTTTCTTTCCCCCCTCCCTCCCTGCTCGCTAGATTGAATGCTTCCAAGAGAGAAGCAGCAGCAGAGACTATGCGCGGGGCTGGGCTAAGCCTTAGGAGTAGAGGCAGTCAAATCTTGGAAGCGGGAGATGATTTTTATCCCTCATTCAGGTGACTTCTGGAAATTGCTCCTCGGAGCTTGAGATTCCACATGAAGGAGCTGGTCACTTGGAGCTCCGCCCCATTGTACCAAATGGGGTGGGGCTTGTGCAATGCCAATCTGCCCCTTTGGGAAGGGCGGGGCTTGCTGTCTGATCAGCTAAAGAATTACGCTGGAATTGAGCACCGAGGCCATTTCTATTGAGACTTCTCCACACCTGGTATGTGAGGGAGAAGGAGCCACTGGTGGTCACGCAAAGAGCAGAGGGGCTATGCTCTTCCTCTCGTCAGCCTTTCAGGGGAGAGAAACATTTGTAGAAGATATGATTTTTTGTTTGTTTTTGTTACATTCAAATTGTGTGTGTCTGTGTAGAGGGGAAAGGAAATACCCCCTTCTTAACCTTTTTTGGTTTTGAAAGATATGATTCCCATTTTAAAAATGATTTTAAAGGATGTCCGTTTCCACTTGGTGTCAGAGGGGGGAGAGCAGGCGAGAGGGCTCCGTCCACGGGGCAGGCAGGATGGTGGGGTTGCCCTAAACTGCAGAGTTCAAGAGATCAGGTGCCTTCCACCCCAAGCAGCTGTCTTTCTCCCTTGTCCCCTTTTCCCTCCCTCCCCCCCGAGGTGTCAATGGTGCTTTGTTTACAGTGAGAATTCCGTAAACAGATGAAACGTTTCTCAGGATCGAGAATATGAACTTATCTTTATATTAAAAGTTTTAAATATTGTATCTAGTAGGTGAATGGGTTTAAATAAGCTGGGGGTGAGGAAAGGATCCCCCCTCCATGCCATGCTATCCACTAGTTGCAGATGTGTCGGAGGGTGGCATCTCTGAACCTCCACCGGTGGGTTTGGGAGAGGTGCATTAAGGAGATGTCCTCGAACTTAGCCAAGTTCTTCAGTCAACGCTCTTTCCCCCACCATCTGTGTCGGGGTGCACTTCGGGCTCCTGAAGAGGCACCTTTCAGATACCTGTATCTCGCTCAGTTGTAAAATGGTGGCATTAAAATAAAAGGAAATGAAATGCAATGGAAGAACGTGTGGCGTCATGAATCCCCAAAGCCAGTGTCACAAGAGTGGACCTGCCAGTTGTGCGGCAATCTCAGCATTCCAGGATCAAACCGGTGAGGCTGCTTCTCTGTGAAAGTGACTGTGCTGCACTCCAGCCCAGCTCATGGCGGGCAGACACCATATCTCTCTGTTTCTGGGACACGCTGGAGAATGGGAATGAGATATGGAGCCTTTTGCCTCTGACATCAAATCCCGACCAGCTCAGTAGTGAGTGAAACTAGATACCAAGTGATGGCTACCTACTTGCCTTTGTGAAATGATTTTGGTGGGTCTCAGCCCACTTGCTAGTAGGGAGATGACCCTATCACAGAACTGCCGTTGCTGTTTGCTCTTTTGCTTGCAGTCTCACTAGAGAGACCAAGGACTGAAGTCCCCTTTTCATCCCTCTAAGTCAGAGTTGAGGCACACTGATGGGGCCCGGGGATGGGATCTTGCCCTGGGGCTGTTTTGTCTGTGATAAAGAGAGGACTCCAGTCCCCTTAGTTGTCAAACCAGTGCTCACTAACACTAAATCAAAATGTAAAAGGTGTCTAAAGAAACCATATTAAAAGAGAGAAGATGAAAACCTAACATAGGGCATGGAGCAGAGCAGGAAAGAGTAAAGCACTCTCATTGAGAAATGGGAGTTAGCTCACAATATCCATTCCTTGTGAGTGTGCTGGGAGGAGAATGGAAAGGCCAGCACAGGTCTCCGTGCTTACTGAGGCGGCTTTATTATCGTCCGATGCTGTTGCTACAGCAACACAAAATCCATGTTACAAACATACTTGGTTCTTAAACTACCACCTGTAATTACAACTGCCACTGGCCTGCATCAGTCATAGCTACAGAATGTTCCCATGCGTAACTGGAATGCAGAGGAACCTTTTCGCTGTTACCATGATGCTAGTCCAGGATGCATGCTAGCTGCTGGGAGGAGGCTAGGACTGAGGATGGCTGTTCCTTAGGTTGGACTTGCAGGAGTGTGAACTGCAAGAGACTGCTAACAGATTTAACCCTTTGAGGGAAGTGAGACCGCAAATTAACCCTTAGAAGCTCAAGGCCTGATGGTGTACTTCCACACCAACTATCCATCCTCCTAAGCCTTCATTTGTCTGGAAAATACAAGGTTTAAATTAATCCTGCACCTCAGGCTGAGTCTAAGGCCTGTTCAGGTTATTTCTCTGATTAAGCAGAGACACCCACTAGCAGACCATAGCAATGTAGATTATGAAGCATGCACTTACATGTAAAGAGCTGAAACAAGCTGAGCAAACAGAGAACACAATATAATAGTTTAATTGGGTCTCTTTTTCTCCCCGCCCATCTAAGAAACAATGATTGCTGGGTTAATGATGTTCTCCGGCCCACCTATTGCTAAATGCTGGCTTTGGAGTGACCTGAATGCCTCACCCTTAGTAAATGAATATTTTGAAGGGTAGAATTTCTTAATTACCAGTTACAATTTTAATAAACACACCGCTCAACATCAGCTACAGCTGACACGAGGATTAGTAATGCTCTGGATGGTCACTGCAGTATTTGGTAATAAGGAAACTAACTGGCTAGTTCCTGTCCACCTGTACTTGTGTCAGTATTGGAATTTTCAATATAACTGCCTGTCTTTCAGTTTGCTCACTAACAAAAATTAAACATGTCATCGCAGTCACTATGAGTCTTATTGGAGAAATTATAGTAATATATATATTTTACTATGTCTGTGTGAGGATGAACAAAGAGACTATTCTTTCCATAGGAGTAGCCGAGCAGGCTCTCCACTAGTGCAGGTACGTAATGTTCAGTTTCAGCAGTGACAGCTTTGTCCTTGAAAATACACCAGAAGCTTAAGAGGAAGAGCTAACGGGAACCAACTCTCAGCACCTTTCACCTGTGGAACTGCAGCTGATAGTTATAACACACCTGAGCTATAAATAAGTATCATCCCTTGTTTTATAAACAGGGGAACTGAAGCAGAAAGCACTTCAGGCCTAAATTTTCAAAAGTAGTCACTCAGTTTGGTACCTTAATTTCTAGGTGCTCAATGTGAGACAGCTTCAGCCTGATTTTCAGAGATGCTAAGCACCCCCTAGTCCAGCTAAAGTCAGTGGGAGCTGCATATGGTTGGTACCCCCGAAAAGAATTTGGGCGCCCAAAATTAGTGGACTCTATTGATAGTGTGTGTAGAAAGAACGAGCCCAAGACATGAGGCCTGGTATAAGGGGCCTGATGTAAGGCCTGAAGTAAAGTCAGGCAGTGCTGATATAAAGCTAAGTGAGCAAAAGTCAAACTGTGAGCAGAAGTCAGGCCCTGCTGCAAGCAGGCATCTGCTTTGTAAGTTCGCTGTCTGATACATGAACTTGGCAAGAATAGGGTTGGAGTTGCAAAAACACAGCATAGTCACATAAACCCATTCCAGAAGGGTAGCGCCAGAACACCCCGATATAGGGTTATGTGTAAACGCACTCTCCAAAGACGATGAAAGGACACACTGACCCCCTCTTAAAGATAAGGTCAGGATGACAGGGTGATGACTATAGATGTTTTGATCGAACCTACATGTACATGATAAAGGGTGGTAACTAATCACATCCAAGGGGCAATAAGTAATTTGTTTGTAACAGTGTATAAAAGAGGGGTCACAGGGTCTGTCTTTGTCTGAACGAGGTGGGGAATGGAAAGTCCCGCCATTCACTGAGCTGCATCCATAGTCATGGGCACACATGTCCTAGTATAACTGTAAACACTGATCTGGGGCGCAAGGACTGTGCTTTGTGGCCAATAAACCTGGCCGAGTACCTTTACTACAGAAACCAAGTCTCTGGTCTTTTGGGCAGTTCGATTGGAGCCTGCTGTATGGGCTATCTGGCCTGAGCCAGTAAAGCACGCAGGGAGAACACACATGCAGGCAACCACTGACTAC